GAGCTGAATTAGGTGTGTTTAATAAGTCTGCATGCTGAAGTCTGCAGTGCTTTGGCCATTGAAGACTGAATGTTGACGTGTTTTAGAGACTAACACATAAGGTTTCACTGACCTCTTGGTGCTTGGATCCCACAGATTGCAGCTAATTGTTTTAATTTTCACTAGTTTATCACAACATAAAACCCACATCTATCGCTCATTTATATTTCTAATAGAATGTATTATTGCTTTCATTGTGAAGCATTAAAATGAAGATGGTTATTATCTGCATGTACTGCATTCAGAAAAGTAACACTCTATCTTCTTGATTGGTTTAATTATGTGTCAGTTTGAAATCAATCAAACAGGTAGCTGAGGTCTGGCCCAACCTATCAAAAATAAGTTATGTGGTCTGTGTGACAAAATAAAATGTTTCATTACTGCTCATCTGCCATTATTAACAGCAGCTCATCCTGCAAACATGATAGGAGCGTCAGCAAAGAGTCAAATGTTAAACAGGCTGATTATGTAGACATTGAGGTATGGACATGCACTGAGAAAAGTGTGTCCTGATATTGAATTCCCTCGTTTGATTTTGACCATTGTAAGAAACTGCTCTAACTCTCAGACCTCTCAAACTTTATCTTTAGTTAGGTCTATTTTGATAGACCTCCCATTCTTCAGTGCACACAAACAAATGAATTGTGGTTAGAGCAAGTTTTTTTGCTTCTTCTAGCAGAACATCAGGGCTGTACTGTCTGCATAATCTGCCTGTTTAACATCTGACTTTTTACAGATACTCATATTGTTCTTACAGTACAAGCTGCTGTTAATAACAACAGAGTAATAAAATAAACAAAATAATACTGAAGCTATGCTTTTAATTTTGGTACATGAATTGCAAAACGTATTGCATCAGTGACCGGATTGGTTACATTCAAATTGACAACTAATCAAAAACAAAAAAGCAGATATCACATTAGGTTTATCATTATTGCTTTGAATGTGATGCAAATTGATTTTAAGCATCTCTTTTTCTCTTGTAAAGGAGGAGTATTTTGGCTCAAGTGGTGGAAAATGTGAGAGTAACAGAGCACTTGTATCCCTGAAAAATTTCTGATAAATAAACAAACATTCACTTATAATTACAATATTACAAAATTTAATCGATTTGATACACTTTAGCCACTGCAGTGTAAAACCAACTGAACCAAATTAAAAAAATACAATGTCACAAAAACCCAAACTTTGTTTCTGCCTTAATATCCAATCTTCTCTGCACTGATTTCAGTGTGTAGCTAGACTATGGGTCAGTGACTGTTACCACCAACTCCCAATGTTCACATTTTGCCACCACAACAGCCAGATATAGAACCTCTTCATATGTTTCACCACCACTGCTTCACATGACTCAGGACTCTAAAAAACCAACCTATCAGCGATCTTCTAACCACACACACACCTGTTCCTCATTTCATGTCTTTGTTAGTTTAGTATACAATCTCAGGTTTTAGCTAAGTACTTTGCAAAGTATTGTCTCAGCATGAGCATACCGAGCATTCTTTTCTTGCCTGTTTATCGACTCCCATGTATGACCTATTTTACACACACACACATACACACACACACATTATCTAAGCGGCTTATTGTTCTGGGTCACGGGGGCTGCTGGAGTTAACACTACGTTGCTTTTCACATAGTGTTAGGTTTGTCCCATTTCAATCCCTGCCTTCTGCTTTCAACACCACCATGGTCCTGTACACTCGCATATTTCATATCTGGGGCAGTCGTGGGCTGGAGGTTAGGGAACCAGCCCCGTGACCGGAAGGTCGCCGGCTCGGTCCCCTGAGCTGACAGTACGTGACTGAAATGCCCTTGACCAAGGCATCTAACCCCCAACTGCTCCCCAGGCACTGTGGATAGGGCTGCCTGCCGCTCCGGGCAAGTGTGCTCACTGCCCTCTAGTGTTGCGCATTCACTAGTGTGTATGTGGTGTTTCACTGCATGGATGGGTTAAATGCAGAGTGCTTTAAAAGTGTACCTCAAAATCAAAGATTTTTTAGAATAGTTTTGCTTGATTCATTCAAACTGGCCTCTTAGCAGCAAATAAACAATGAGCAAAAGCTCTTTATGCTTTATATGCTTTATAATGTCAATAGTGTAAATCAAAATATCAAAATCAAACAAAAACATAACACACACATACAAACACACATATTATATAAGCCCCAGGGTCACAGGGGCTGCTGGAGCCAATCCCAGGGGTCACTGGACAGAAGGCAGTAAACATCTTGAACAGCACCAAGTTTGTCACAGGACAAAACAAACAAGTAACACTAGGAAAATCTTAACAACCACAGCACCAGATTGTTTAACTGTTTTCTTCTAATTCCACAGGTTGACAGAATGACAAGATGTTTTGAATTAACAAAAATATGTGATGTTTCTATTTAATCAAATATTTTTATTTGGTGGTTAAAAATATAAATTAAATCAGTCAAGTGGAAAGACACCACTGTGACCCAATTCATGCATAGCATTTTTTTTTTACCTGAGTTGCTCTAATGCTTTATAGGCAGTATCATTAATATTCATGGCACATAGCAAATCTTTAGTTAACTTAATAACAACAGATTTGTTCACAGCAGTCTAAACTGTGTAACTTGTGAAGGTCCTAATGAAAAAAAGACCATTAGGCATTAGGTTTATAACCTGATGGTTTTGTTTTCAAATGAGAATTGGCTTAATGGTTACCATTAGAGACCACCAGTTTCCTGTAGGAAATCTTTATGTTAGGAAACCATCAAATGCATCTGGAATCTGTCCCTGGACACCTGTTAAACCACTAGAATCCTTACACTGTGATATCAACCCATCAGTAAGACCAGTGTGTGAAATATCCCCTGGTATTTAGGGGTGTAAAGGTATTAAACTAATAAGTGATGTTAAACGCTTGATAAGTGATGTTAAATGCTTTATTTTATTACATCTAGATGAGTAGCGTGTGAAAATAAGCTTGAACTTGATGTTTATCTGCTCTCCCTGCCGGCATTCTATTGCAGCACTTTGCCACATGACACTATGTGACATGCTAGTCCGGCGTGATACTTTTGCAGCAGAGTGTCGCACAAAACTCTGTAGATGGTCTGAAAAACTGATGCAAAGTCATTAGTGGTTATAGTCAGAAAGTACTTCAATAACGCAATCGCTATGCTATGATATGACTTGATACAGTTCTTATACAGCAGTACAGTAAGCACATTGATGCAGTCTTGATAGACAAACACTGTCAGTAGAATGGATTGTACTAATGACTTTAAACATGGCATTGTCATAGGATGCCATCTGTGCCACAAGTCAGTTTGTGGAATTTCTGTCCTGCTAGATCTGCCCCTGTCAACTGTAAGTGCTATTATTGTAAAATAGAAGCACCTAGCAGCAACAACAGCTTAGCTACAAAGTGATACACCATACAAACTCATAGAGCAGGGCTTCCAAGCATGTAGCACATAAAATCACCTATCCACCTCATGCACTACTGTGTCACTCACTATAAGTTTCAAACTGTCTCTGGAAGCATCAGCACAAAAACTGTATGTTGAGTGCTTCATGAAATGTGTTTCAAGCACATAATCCTAAAATCACTATGTGCAATTCAAAGTGTCAGCTGAAGTGGTCTAAGGTTTGCCACCACTGGACCCAGGAGCAGTGGAAATGTGTTCTCTGGAGTGATGAATTATGCTTCATTATCTAGTAGTCTGATGCATGAATCTGGGTTTGACACATATTAGCAGAGTGCTATCAACGGGAATAGTGCCATAGTGCCAGCAGTAAAGTTTGATGGAGGAGGGATAATGGTCAGGGGCTGTTTTTCAAGGTTTGGGCTGGACCCCTCAGTTCCAGTGAAGGGTAAATGTAATGCTACAGCTACAAAGCTACAATGACATTGTAGACAGTTATAAGCTTCTAACTTTTTGACAATAGTTCAGGGAACCCCTTTTCCTGCTTCAGATTGACCGTGCCCTGTGCACAAAAAAAGAGCATAAAAACTATGGTTTAAAGAGTTTGGTGTGGAGGAACTCCAGTGGCCTGCACAGAGCCCTGACCTCAACCCCACTGAACACCGCTGGGATGAATTAGAACATAGATTTGAGCCAGGCTTTCTCCTTGCCTGCCCTTATAAATGCTCTTTTGACTGAATAGGTACAAATTCCCACAGACACAAAATCTTGTGAAAAACCTTCCCAGAAGAGAGGAGGCTGTTATAGCAACACAGGGGACAGGGACTCCACATTAATATCCAAAGTTTTGAAATAGGATGTCCAACAAGCTCATATAGGTGTATGTGAATATGTCCACATACTTTTGATCATATAGTGTATGTGGGCACCTACAGCATACTGACATGTGGACAATTTCACCTGCATAGTAAAATTTTAGACATTTATGTGACGAGTGAAAATACGAAATACACTTTATTTAGATGCTAAATCTTGCAATGTGTGAAAAGACATTTTGTAATGTCAGTGGTGCTTTGGACTCCTTCCACAAGCAGATAAATCTGATGATTGCGAGAGTGTTGAAAGAGACTTTAAAGAGAACTCAGTCAAATCTTGGTGAACGACATTTTTTTCCAATGATGCAGAATTATCTACTATCATCACATCTCGTCATCAGTATATATTCTGTAATGATTTTGCATTTGAGACCTAAACATCAAGCCAGACCTTATTTTAAACCCGTGTAAAAATGGCCTGTGAAATCCTTTTATCATTTAAAAGTCAGAGGTGTTCCACTTGACACCTCTGACTTTTACATGAATATTTCTGACTTTACAAGGTGATTGGCAACGCATCATGTGTGTTGTCCTCCTGAAACAGCACTGTTACTTTTTCAATTTGTACAAAATGCATAGTGTAGCTTTAGACAAACACTGAACAAACTCAGTTTTTGTTATAATCTGCATTTGACCAAGTGGTTTGAGGTTGTACAATGTAACAGTTGTACTGAGCATTACTTACCAAGCTGTTCTGGATGCTTCAACCACAGGCATCAGTTTGAGAAGAACATGTTCTGCTGCACCATATTTTTTTAGGACAAATTCATCCAGCTCTTCTTCTGATGTTAGCAATGCAAAAATCACAGCTGACCACTGTGAAGAAGAGAGTTTGCTGTTTTCTATACCTCCATGTTTTAGGTAATACTGGATTTCCTTTAGTAGAGAATGGTCACCTAGTTCATTCAGACAGTGGAACAAATTGACAAATTTCTCTGCAGAGGGATTCTCTCTGATTTTCTTTTTGATATACTGAATTGTTCCCTCTGTACTGTAGGTCCAATTTTCTGTCTGCATTACTAGGCCCAGTAAAAGACTTTGACAAGACTTCAGTGAAAGACCCACAAGAAAGCGAAGGAAAAGATCCAGATGTCCATTCTTACTCTGTAAGGCCTGATCCACAGCACTCTTGTGTACATCATAGATTGTAATTTCTTTTCTGAAGAAGTACACAAGTGCAGAGAACAAACTCTGATTAAGCACATTTCTCTTCTGGTTCATGAAGGTCAGGTGCACATATAGAGCTGCAAGATGTTCCTGAACACTCAGATGAACAAAGCAGTACACTTTACTCTGGAGCAGCCCAGATTCCTCTCTGAAGATCTGTGTACACACACCTGAGTACACTGATGCTTCTTCAACATCGATACCACACTCTCTCAGATCTTCCTCATAGAAGATCAGGTTTCCTTTCATCAGCTGCTGAAAAGCCAGTTGGCCCAGTTTGAGAAGTATTTCTTCATCTGCTTTTTGGTTCTTTGTGTATTTTTCTCTTATGATTTTTGTCTGAATGGTGAGGAAGTGTGTGTACATTTGAGTCAGAGTTTTGGGGATCTCTCCACTCTCTGCTTCCCCCAACATTTTCTCTAGAACAGTGACTGAAATCCAGCAGAACACAGGTATGTGACACATGATGTAGAGGCTCCTGGATGACTTCAGGTGTTTGATGATTCTGTCTGCCAGACTCTGATCATTGATTCTCTTCCTGAAGTACTCCTCCTTCTGTGGGTTGTTGAATCCTCGTACTTCTGTGACTCGATCCACACACTCAGAGGGGATTTGATCAGCTGCTGCAGGTCGGGAGGTTATCCAGATGAGAGCAGAGGGAAGCAGATTCCCCTTGATCAGGTTTGTCAGCAGCACTTCTACTGATGCTGATTCAGTCACATCACACAAACTCACAGTGCTCTGAAAATCTAGATCTAAACGACACTCATCCAAACCATCAAAAATGAAAAGTGACTTCTGCAAGCTGGAAATGTTTGTTTCTTTTGTTTCCTTAAAAAATATATGAAGGAGATTAGTCAGACAGAGTTTTTGGTCCTTCATCAAATTCAGTTCTCTGAAAGGAAGTGGAAATATGAAGTGGACATCCTGATTTGCTTCATCTTCAGCCCAGTCCAGAATGAACTTCTGCACAGAGAGTTTTTCCAATGCCAGAAATTCCTTTTGTCAGGACAGTTTTGATGGGTTTGTCTTGTCCAGATAAAGATTTAAAGATATCTTTGCATTTGATTGCTGTGTCTTCTGTTGTTTTTCTCCTGGAGGTGTCCTGCATCTTATTCACCTCATGTTCATTACTGATTTCTCCTTCTGTGATGTAGAGCTCAGTGTAGATCTCACAGAGAAGTTTTGGGTTTTCTTGGTTTGTTATTAGTTCATTCAAACACTGATATTTATTTTTCATATATGATTTGAAGCTCTCCTGAGCTTCACTTGCAACAGACACAGTGGCATACCTGCAAGATGGTAGTAATATAGGTTACATTGCATTGTTTCAGTCAAGGTATTGATTGAACTTGTACATATTATACAATTATATGTACAAGTCAATATATATATATATATATATAAAGGTGAGGTGATGTTTCCTTTAATGTGTGTGTTAACAGTTCTGTTAAGCATTGAGAATTCTTTCAACAAATAGCTTCTAATGCACTAATGCACGAGTTGTTAATAAATGTATGTCACAAGCAGTGGCTGTAGCATGATTGGTGGTATAAATAAAGCAAAACCACAAAAATATGAACTTGCAAAATACAAAATTCTATTTTTGATCTGACCAATAAAAATCCTGTTAAGCCTATAGTCATTACTATAAGGCATGTACTAAGTGTTCCAGCTTCTGAATTATACAAAAGCTCAAAATATCCTCTTCTAAGACCATCACTGTCTCATGGAGGCATGAATATGATGTATTCAAAGCATTAAATTAATTAAACGCACCATATAACATTACAGAGACACAATAACTACAATCAGTTATCTAAGTTTTTTAAAGGTGGTTCATTAAATCTTAACTCACAGATGCTGGAATAACAGAAAAATTGCGAGCAATTTATGTTAGGCAAGTCCTTGGACGAGGTGCAGGATCCAGTATGAATAAACCCTTTTTTTGAAGTGATGACATTTTTACAGCATACAGCTCTCCAGCATGCCTCTGAAGGCTACTACATGCATGACAATGTCTTCTCTCTCAGGCTAATAATGCTAAATTGACAGAGGCTAAAGCTCACAGTCCACAGTGAAAAAGAGAAGCCTCATTAACCAGCAGTCCACAAACTTCTTTGTCTTTCCTTTTCAGTTTAGGAAATGGGTAAAATTTCACTACCTTTTAAAACTTGGTATACTGCATTGCTGATTTACAATTAGCCTACGCTAATTGTATGTGTTGTGGTACATTGTAAAGTTCTGAAAGGTTTGAAAAAGTGAGAGTCGCTAAGCTATGGCTGGACAATCATTGTTTAGATTAGAAGTTAGTGAAGGGTCAGCTCCTAAATAAAATGTGTTCTCCAACACATTGGAAATACTTTAAAAAATTGCTTCAAACATTGATTCTCCTGTATCGTTCAGTCAAGACACAGATGTCATTGTTGTTTGCTGTTTGCTATTTTACCATGTGTCTACGAGGCTGATCTCCTCTTGTGGTCCCCTCATTCTGTTCGTCCTCTCTTTCATCTGGGATGAGACACTGTGGATACATCAAGATGGTAAACACATAAATACTTAAAACTTTGGCTATGTAAACTACTATGCCTTCCATTATCTAAATAAATAAATGAATAAATAAATAAATAAATATCACTGTTATACTTCATTTTACAGTGCTCTTTTACCCCTTAACATCCCAGGATTATTACATACTAAGGCTTATTATTCAGTAACTATAGGGACTCCACTGCAAACAGGTTAAGCTATTCTTAGGTGATAGAAGTGTGTAATGAAACTTTTAAGGGGTTAACAGATTACTGATGTTAAAAAATGTAATATGTAATCTAATCCAAATTATTATTATATAAAAGTTTCATTACTTTTGGATTACTTATTATTCCAAAGCCATATCAAACAAAGATGAGTTCAAACAAGTTTCAACAAGGCATCATTAAACAGGACAAAACTGCACTGATTTCTGAAACAAAATTATATGTGACATGAGTTAAATGCCAAAACTATGCCAAAAATGTAGCCAGAATTTCCAGCTAGAGCCAGCTAGGAAGTATTATGTCCCAGAGACATATCTATAGTGAGTTGACAAACACTAACTTGTCTACTTAAACCACTAACTAGTCTATTTAAAATGAAATTTTAAATACACACACAGCTGCTGACCTTGCATTTAACTGCCTAGTTAACTTACAACTGACAGCACATCATGGCGGATAAAGGCTAATTAATTACATTGTACAGCAATAGTCATACAGATTTACAGCAATTTAGCTGAAAACTGCATTGTCTCATGGCTTTTTTTTCTGCAGAACTCCATTTTGCTTTCTTTGCCTCAGTTAACTTTATCACTTAGCCAACTCACTGTAGCTATGTAAATAGGAGCCTTCACTTGGACCTAGCACAGCTCAACTACATTCCTGTAGCCAGGAGAAACAGACAAGCTCCTCCTAAACACCCGCTGGTTTGCAGTTCTAAACTTTGCAAGAATGGTCAGGTCCCCAACTGAACTAGACACATATATTTCAAAATGTTGTATAGCCAACACCAAAGCCAACGCCTCCTTCTCAATGGTGGAATACAATCTTTGTTGCTTGTTTAACATCTTGGAAAAATTTGCTACTGGTTTTTCAATACCAGCTGCATCAGACTGAGGTAGGACAGCACCTATGCCTACCTCACAAGTGTCCACCGCCAATATGAATGGTTGCATAAAACTCTGGTGCACCCAACACTGGCTCACAGGTTAACACTGCTTTAATTTGTTCAAAGGCCTTTAATTTGTTCTAGGCACAAGCGCTAGACCAGGTGAACTTAACCCCCTTCTTCAGGAGGTTAGTCAGAGGTGCCACCAGCACAGCAAAATTTGGAATAAACTGCCTGTAGAATCCACATAAGCCCAACACCCACATCAAATACCTAGGAGATTTTGGTACTGGTGGATCTACAATTGCTTGGATTTTAGCCTGCTTTGGCATTACCTTCCCTTGCCCAGCTTGGTGACCCAAATAAGTGACCTAATCTCACACTTTTCCAAATTAACAACAAGTCTAGCGTGAAGTATCCTCCGCAGCAACTCCTGTAAATGATGTATGTGTTCTTGCCAGGAGTCACTATAGAAGATCACATCATTAACCTTGATTCATTAACCATTGAAAGGTCGCTGGTGCATTCTTCATCCCAAAATGAGGAACCTTGCAGACATATAAAGAATCCGGGGTCACAAACGCAGAGATTCCTCTTGTCCTATCTAAGAGTGGAACCTGCCAGTAGCCTTTTAGCAGATCAAGTTTTGACACATACTGAGCTCTACCAATATGATCTATACAATCCTATAACCGAGGAATAGGAAATTCATCTGTCTTGGTCACTTGATTCACTTTTCGATAATCTATGCACAACTGCAGTGAACGATCAGGCTTTGAAACCAGCACCACAGGTGAGCTCCAACCACTCTGCCCTGGTTCTATAACACCAATCTCTTCCATATATGCCAGTTCTTGTTTAGTGAAACCCATGCTATCATTCACTGAATCTCTAACAGCAAACATAAGAAAAGGCACGGCACAATCCCAATCTACAGGAAACTGAATATAATATGCCTTAATTGTACACTTCAAAGTCTGATGATACCTTTCTGTCACTTCCTGTGACTGTGGATGATAGGCTGAGGACAGAATCTGAGTAATGCCAAGTTCATGCATCACTTGTTGAAATACTTCAGATGTAAAATTAGTCCCTCTATCTGATTGAACCTCCTTAGGCAAACCAAACCAGGAAAAAAATTGGAGCAGAGCATCAACAACTGTTTGAGCTTTAATGTTACGCAATGGGACAGCTTCAGGAAAACAAGTTGTAACATCCATTATTGAATCTTAGCTTAGGTTTTTCAGATACCTAAACCATAGGAGTTTCATGTGGCAACCGCAAAACCTCTTCCTGAAAACACTGAGGCAGTATGACCTGTTCCAGTGTCCACTTCTCTGTAGCTGGGTGGTCAGGTGGCCTCCATTTGCGCATAAGCACCCATTCCTGGATTTAATAACCCTTGGCCATCTCCTTACTCCTTACAAGCTGCTGTCACTCTTAAATAAGACGGGACAGGGTCATTCTTTTGCTCTTTAATAAGAACATCATGGCTAAACTGAGAACTTATACAAGGACTACATAACTGGGGAAGAGAGGAATATACTGATTTAGTCTGGCACTTTTTGATAGGCTCAGCCATACTGACTGGATTCTTGGACATCGAACATGTAATAACGCACACAGGAAAAACTGCAGGATACTCTTGCTCCAGGGCCTCTGTCTCTGGAGTCACGCAGGGAATATTACTCACCACTGGTGTCACACAGACCTGATCTCCTGCTAAATCATTTCCCAAGATGAGACTAATGCCCTTCACAGGCAAAGAAGGCATCACTCCAACTGTTATATAACCAGTGACTAAATTTGATCTCAGGAACACCTTATGGAGAGAGATACTATCATATTTTCCCCCAACGCCTTCAAGCAAGACAGAAGTTTCTAAAGAAGTACTCTTGGGCAGATTAATCACCCCACCAAGGAATAAGGACTGGACAGCCCCGGTGTCCCTCAATATGTTCACAGTGGTCCCTACTTCTTCCTCTGTTACAGAAACCGAGCCTTTGGACACAAAACCGCTATACAACGAGTTAGTCTACCTAAAGGAGTCTAAAGAGATCCCATCTGGACAACCAGCTGGCAAGACCTCAGACATGACTAAGGCCACCGGTCGATTAAAGTGATCACCACCAGAACACTCTTTCCACTGAAGAGTGGTGCAGTGATATTTCATGTGCCCTGGTTTCTTACAGTAGTGACATTTCATGTCATCAGGAAAGAATGCTTTCTAGATAGCCCTCCCCTTGATTGAAACTTTTGAACTTGATTGAATTTGATTGAAGCTGATGTTTGTTGCTCACTCTTAGGCTTAAAATCATGTCTTTTCGCATTGGTAGGAAGCTCCCTAATGCTGTTCCTAGGTTTATCTTGCCACAACTCTCCATGTACAGTACCAACGCATAGTTATTTGCTAATTCTGCAGCTATCAGTTTCTACTGTCTGCTCATTTAGATGAACCTCTAGCTGCTGTGGAACATGATTTTTAAACTGTTCTAAGAGTACCAACTGCTTAAGCTCTTGAAAAGTATACACCTCGCTAGCTCTCAACCCTTTGTCAAAAAGTAATTCCTGCTGTCTGGCTAAGTCTCCATATGTCTGTCCTCTCTTTAATCCTTCTGAGCGAAACTGCTGCCTATATGCCTCAGGTACAAGTTTATATGCTCTTAGTACAGCTCTTTTAACTACCACATAATTATTACTATCCACCACACTGACTGCTGCATAAGCCTCTTGAGCTTTTCCTGTCAGTTCCCTACGAATAAGAGTTACCCACTCGTCATTGGGCCAGTTCCTCTCTATTGCATCACGTTCAAAGGTTTCATAAAAGTCATCAACCGTTTTTGGACTAAATCGGGGCATAAGGGCAAAACACAGGAGGGTCAAATCTAGCTTCATGAGCATGTTGCCGATTATTCTCTTGTTGTCTCACTCTAATTCTCTCTCTTTTTGACTCTCCTCCTCCTGCAACTCTTCTTTACGTTTAATTGATTCTACCTCCATATCTGGGACTCCAAGACAAAGTAACACTCCACTTATTATTTTGCTTTTCTTGGCTTCCAGAGGAATGTCTATCTCACAAAAATGTACTCATTTAATTAAGTTTGGCTTTGAGAGTCTGACTAAATGCACACGGTTTACTTCCTGCTCCAAAAACTCCTCTGGATCAAATTCAGCCACTGTTGCTCTGTTAGCTGAATATCGAATACATTAGTACGTTCCCAAACACAATACAGCTAGCTTACGTCAAAACCAATACACTGGCACAAAATACAAGACCTATCAGTGTATTGTGGAAAGCTACCAGCTGCTCACAAATTCACCCTGCATATAATTTATTTGCAGATGATATCCAGTTGTATTTTTCATTCAAATGAAAAACTAGGCACATCGTTTATCTAGGGTCCTAGATTATCAAAATGCTGTCAGGGACTGGACAGCAAAACATTTCTTACAGCTTGATGCTGATAAGTTTTGATTGTTGCTCCAGAAAAGTTTACCCCCATGATCAAACAAAGTCTTGGGCTTCTTTCCTCTGCTGCTCATTTCAACCTGTGTTATTTAGGGGCTATATTTGATCAGTCCTCATTGATTGACATGCATGTTAAGCAGCTGACCAGATCTTGTTTTTATCAAAAATACTGGTAAATTGAGATCTGTAGTTTTAAATGCCGAGCTAGAGATGGTTATACATGCCTTTATTTCATCTTGTATTGACTACTGTAATGCTCATTTCTCCTTACTTAGTATGTCTATTCTTGATCATTTGCTAGCAATTCAGAATGCCACTACAAGACTAATTTCTAGGTCTAATAGATAGTCTCACGTAACCCCTTTGCTCATATGTCTTCACTGCCTCCTGTTCCATTTTAAAATTCTTACTCTTATTTACAAAGCATTGCACAATTAGGCTCCTGCCTATGTGGCTGATCGACTTCACCCTTACGATAAGCTTGCTCTCTTAGGTCAAATTTGGGTAATTTATATGTGTTAGGTTTGTATTTTATGTATTTATTATGTATTGTGTATTTTTGTAATGTATTCATATTTTTTACATTGTGAATTGTTTTGAAGCTCTTTGAGATTTATGTCTGTGAAAAGTGCTGTATAAATATATATATATTTTTACCTTACTGCTTGCAACCAAGCAGTCAAAATACAGCACAATACAGCAGGAATGACAGGAGTTCTAGACCTGCTGCGTCTAAACATCACCTGAACTGAATTCCTTCCTACTGTTTTCTTGCTGTAATTCAAAAAAGAACATCAGGCTGTGTTGGTCAGAGGTGGGGTGCACATTTGTGGCCCCATTCAGCATTGCTTGTCTACTGGTGAAGTTTAGCAGATGGAAAATAATGTTCTTTACTTAAATTAATGTAATTGGAGCTGCTGTTGCTCCTATGTCTCATGCAATGAAATCTCTCAATTGGAATCTCACAGCCTGCCAAACTATGAATGCATCTCAGCAGATTTTTCTTGAGGAAGGATATAGCATTAAAGTCTTTTACCAACACAGGTAAGTAAACCCACATTATTTCTGTAGTTTCTGTCTTTCATGTAGCTTGGCCCCAAGTTTTTGAAGCTTCTGTGCCTGCTTTAAGGCATTATCATGGTCTGCACAAGCTGCTTGTTGAATGTTGTCAACCCCAGATTGTACCAGGCTAATACAGATGCTTTCCAATTGGTCAGTAGGTATATTGAAGGTTGGCCATAACATCTAGCCAAAAGATCTTTAATCCTTAGCCTTAGGTATTCAATTTGAGATGACTAGCTGTTGGTCAGAGCATTTGTAAATACTCTAGAAGAAAGTGAGTTCAGTCTGCTTTGTTGCTCAGCATGTTCATTTTAAACTGTTTTCAAGATGGCCAAATCCAAGTCTTCAAATGAGGTAGAAGTGTCCCTGCTTTTCTTTTTAATCAGTGAAAATTCAGTCTTTAATTTGCGTGTTCGCTTAGAATGATCACATTGCTGCTGTTCGTGTTTAGGTTTAGGTGAGAAAAAACAGTGTAAAACCTCAAAGCTCAAAAATTAGTGTTCTGTCATTGACGCATCCTAGCTTATTACTGGTTTACTACTGTTTATTATTGTTTATTAACTATTTAATTAAGTCTTATTTTTTGGTTTGGCCTTTGCAAGCACAGACTTCTTAATTAACAGTCAAAATAACAGGTAGATTAGTGAATTAATAATGTAATTTTAGTGTCAGCACTAGCTTCTTGAAGGTTAGTCAGAGACTTCAAGCAGTTTACAGGTTGAAGTCTATGTATACAGAAACTCTTTGTAGAACAGAGACTGAGGAGTAAATGTATTTTTGAAAATGCAAGTCAATGACGGTAATGCATGGTAACTTTACAGTTTTCCATACTCAGACAGAAAGATAATCTGAATATTACAGCACAACACTTTTTTTAAACTCTGAGTAATGCCCTGATGTTTGTAATGGGTCATTATTCATGTGAGGTGATAGCTGTTTTGTCCGTGTACAGCATGTACACAGCAAACAAACTTCATACTCCATTCCTTGGCCAGATAAGACTATTAAGTCTAAAAAACAGAAAGTGAGAAACAAATCTGAGTATGACGGAATTACTGTGCAGAGTTTATGTGAAGTAAGTCGAGTAAACTGTATGGGTCACACCTGTGTTAACGCATTATCTAGATAACAGATACTTGCAATACAATATATGCAACAGATTTTAAGTTTAGTAAATAGCTGCTATCTGTGGAGCTTGAATGAGGTAGCTAGTTAGGCAACTCCTTCCTCAGAGTGGAGGTTGGGTTGTGGAAAACAGAGCTATCAACAGGTTTTGGGAGGCAGACTTGCCAGCTGATAATAATGTCATTTTTTTAGTTCTCTTGAAAATGAATGAAGATAACTGTTTGGATAAAGTATGTTCCTAATGTGTGCTGGCAAAATTAAGTTAAATATAAACTTAAAAGTTTAAAAAGTAACAATACTACAATTTAATTCTTCTCCAATAAGTGCTGTTACTGGCAAAAACTTACTTAAGTACAATAATGAGTAAATGTGATTTGTTACTTTGCACTTCGCATAATTCATATCAGTACATTTTTAGATGGAAATATCTGAGCTTTTGGTAAAGAAACAAAATTGTTGTCTTTGCTTCCTCTTGCTTAAAAATAGCTAATAGAAAATGGCCAAAAAAAAAGTTAGTGGCCATAAAATGTTTGAAATCACCTGTGTCCAGATGAGTGGTCTTCATGTTCGAATGTTAGTGGAGGATCCTTAGATCTGTTGCTATTCAGGGACACAGCACTGGGGCCAGGTGAGTCTGATCTCTCTGCCTGAATTTCTCTGCACAGCAAAATGAATATTCTCTCAATGATGTAAAAGCAGTTTCTACACTCATATTAACAGAAACAGTGACAAGAAGTTATTACATATTTTTCAATGTGTTTCTATAAAACAATTTAAGCTTTAAATATCAGTGCTCCCTAACAGGATGCTCCATCAAAGATTATTTCTTAAATATGAAGAGCTATTTCTTATGTACAAGAAAGGGTGGCGCATATATGAATTAGATGATCAACACACATGAATTTTCATGAAAATTCAAGTGACTGATGATGAGTCTTCTTTTAAAAGTCTTTACGCAGTGGCTTAAATGTGAGGAGCCTTTACCTGTGTGCAAGTGATGGGTCTCCCTCTTCTAATGTCAGTGAGGGGTCCATAGATCTGTCACTTCTTTTTGACACACAGCTGGACACTGGAGAGTCAGATCTCTTTACCTGGATTAAACTTTACAAACACAGATATTGAGTCAGTCATTTAAATAAAGTGGTAAAAATAACAAACATAGAACTTACACACTGGATGTTTCTGAAAAAAAAACAACAACAGGTAAACCTGGTAAAACTGACTGACATTGAACAGCAGGAAGTACAGATTACACTCACAAAACATCTGATGAATAAGAAAAGTCAGTATATGCTTTGAAAACACACCACACCGTTCATCAAATTCTGATCTAGTATGACTACAATGTTTTGTCCGATTGATTTTAAATAAGTTGTACAGTGTTAATGTAATCATAACTTTAAAAGTATTTTAAAGTTTAAATCTCTAATCATAGACTCATACATTTTTGCTTTAACTGCGTCTAACTGTGGCTTATCCAATATTCACACACTTAAAATGTTATTTTTATTAAAGAGAGAACTGGCCCTTCCAAGCTTTGCTCACAGGAAGCTCTGAATTGGAAATACAGCTTAAAATATTTTTCAAGGCTGTGCAGCCTTACAGTGAATAAACTTTGTTGAAAAAATTAATAATGAAACAAATGTAAGCCCAGTAAATCCCAAAAAAACTATATAACATTTAAATTATAAAGTGTTCATTGACTTCATCAATATGCAACATAAAACATACAGATATTAGTGGCAACAGGTACAACATAACAACATAATATTGAGTATAATGTTTAATTTTGTGTAATACATTCATTTTTAAGCTCTCTGGAAATGCCGAACAAAGTACATAATTTGAAAAATTGTTAAAATTGTGCATCTGGTATGATCACATTAAAGAAGAATAAGTTATAATATTAGGACCATTTCATTATCATATTCATTCTGTTACTGGAGGAGAGGGGTCCAAATGAAAGGCATGGTATAGCTTATTGTAATATGCTGCATCATGCAGGAGGCTATTCTGTTACTCCGCATATTAAAAATATAGATGTTGCCATCATTTACCTCTATCATACTGAATATAATGAAGGAATTACAGCAGTAATCAATAATTGCAGCTAAAGAGGATCAGTAAGAGTTGTATGCATTGCAGAATGCAGGAGGGAGATCATGCCAACTTTTTCTTGACTTCAAAATAGTGTTCTTGGGATGCAGACTTCAATATCAAATTTGGTTGCTGATATGGTCTCACCTAATAGTAAGTGTCTCTAATAACTATGTAGTTTCTCATTTATAATATTTGTAACAACACTGGCAATGTATTCACTGTTACAGATGCACTGCAGGAGTACAGCTTATGGAAATTATGTAAATAAAATTCTGACACTAGAATGTTAGGTAGTTAAGGAATAAATGCACTTTCACTGTTAAAAAGCCTAATTCTGATTATTATATTTGCTTAATTACAAACTCCTCTTACAAAAACAAATCCTCACAATCTTTGTAAGGCAGTAACTTCTCTTAAAATAAATAGTTTCCCATGCTCTCCCATGTTGTAATTGATAACCATTCCATTTCTGACCAATGATGCATACTTTTCTGCTGCTGGACACCTCTTTGCCCAGAATTACCTTTCTGATAGGCATCAATGTGTGGCCCTGAGACACCAAAATCTGGTCTACTGCCAGTAACTAAAGATGTGCCACAGGACAAAGTATTAGGTCCCATCTTCCTGGAGTCTGAAGCGCAAAGTGCACTTAAATGCAGATGACACTTTATACTAATCTGCTGATTCTTTATAATCATAAACTAGTTTTAAATAAGAATAAGATCAAATGCATGCTGTTTTCCAGACCTTCTCATTTTGATTTAATTTCACTATATCTTACAAACTTAAAGGGATCCAGAATTGATGTGCCAGGGTGAGGATTAGGATTCAATTTTGGATTGAGGTTAAGGTTAGGATTAGGGCCAGAGTGAGGTTTTGGGTAAACTTGGGTAAGGTTAGGTTTTGCTTAATGGAAGTAACATATTGGGTCTACTTCATGTAACATATCAACAATACATTAACTTCATGTAAGTAATGTATCAACAGTATATCTTCAAGATATTTACATCAATGTATTGAGATGCTTCACTACTGCTACTTCATTGATTTTACTGATACTCTGTTATGAGTTTGTTAATCATCTACAAATAGCCACTCATAATAAAATGTTACCTGCAATACTGTAATTAAGGGTTACTCTCAATGTACTCTGAGTTTAAATAAAAGTCAGTTGATGTGTATGAACTCTCATGTAATTACATAAGTGTATCTTTCAACAGCATATTTCTCTTATGTAATTGCATATTTCTGATTGTAATAGGAGGTGTGTAAATGTCTACATTGTAAAATATATGCGGTGTATTATACTACCCCAGAAGCAATGTTTGTATTACCAATCTGAAGGGGTGGGATCAAGTCAATAAGTTGCAAGTAACAAGTAAGACTTGACACTTGACTCCCGAGGCAAGTCCCAAGTCAAGACACTGAAGTCTTGATTCAAATCCCCAATCAGTATAGGTAGGTCTCAAGTGAAGTCTCAAGTCAATACAGGCAGGTCTTAAGTCAAATCCCAGGTCCTAATCTTTGAATCCTAAACAAGTCAAAATACATTCTTCAGCTAATTTAAGATACAGAAGCAAATTTAAACACGAAGCTGGTCGATAAAAAGTCCACTTCAAATCATGATTACAATCATCTGTTGGCATCATTTCTTGTTTTGCATCTGTATTTGAATCCCTTTAGAACGTGGCACCATGTGCTGCCTTTTGAGACCTTTTCACCTGCTTCACATTGCCAGACAGGTTCTAAGATCTGGCAGTAGTCATGCCTGAGTGTGGATAGTGAAAATGAACCCAGTAGTCAATTGAATTTGATAAATAGATTGAATTATTAGCTAAGGTGGCAATTACTTTTTCACATAGGGCCAGGTAGGGCTAAACAGCATTTTTTCTTCAATAAATGAAATGATCATTTAAAGACATTTTGTGTGTACTTGGGTTATACTTGTCTAATATTAAAAGTAGTTTGATGTTAAATATGCAAAAATAAAAGAAATTGGGATGGGGCAAATACTCTTTTTCACAGCACTTTACATGAAGATAAAGGTAAATTGTTGCTATGTAATAAAGTTATATTACAGAATGGTTTAAAGATGGAATGTTGGCTTTGTTGACTTTGTTTTCTGTTGCTTAAAAATGGCTAAAAAAAAATTTAAAAAATGTATTTGTCATTATTTTTTAGAATGAATTTATTCATTAATTTATTCATGATGTTAAGAAATTGAGAAAAAAGCATAAAAATCATGAATGATGCACAATTGTTTAACTGTGTTAAAATGTTACCTGTGTCCAGATGAAAGGTCTTCAAGCTCAAATGTTAGTGGAGGATCTTTTGACCTGTTGCTCCTCATGGACACACAGCTGGGTCCGGGTGAGTCTGATCTCTCTGCATGAATATGTCTGCACAGCAACATGAATATTCTCTCAATAAACTCAATAAAGTTTTATAGTCTTATTTATATAAACTAGAATAATACAACTAGAAATTCCAAAATACTTAAGATATTTTACTTTTAAACTGTAAGACGATTAAGCAATACTTTAAACTCTAATGCTGCCTAATAGCGTACTCTGACCAGATATGATGGAATAATTTGTGTCAATTAATATGTAGATCATTGCTTGACTTTTACAGTAGACCTTTCAAGACACAATTTTAATGTTCCAGCCATATTTTTCCCAGACTGAGATTGCATCTAAACTAAGAAGAGCTATTCCTTATGTACAAGAGAGGGATATTTGATTTACATGATCAATACACATGACTTTTCATGAGAACTCAAGTGACTGCTGTTGAGCTTTTTTTTAGAAGTGCTTTAAATGAGCACAGAACATCTAAATGCAGTGACTTAAATGTGAGGAGCCTTTACCTGTGTGCAGTTAAGGGGTCTCCCTCTTCTAATGTCAGTGGGGGATCCATAGATCTGTCACTTCTCATTGACACACCACTGAATACTGGAGAGTCAGATCTCTTTACCTGAATTTGACTTTACAAAAACAGTTGATTAGTTAGTCACTCTTCCTGTAACATGTTCATGTGAGGTCATTTTCACGAGAGAGAGATTATATATATTTGTTTTTTCTGTTTAACCCTGGCTTGTTATTGTTTATTTTTTTTTCTGTATTCTGAGTTTGAATTTTCCCTTGTGTTTTTTGGGCTATTTCCTGGTAGATCAGCTTATTCTGTTTGTGGTGACTCATCTATAGACACAAATAGAGAATAGGAAGAGTGAAAGTGTGCCCGAGTTCCAATATGTTTTCCGTTCTTGCTGGCAGTGTATAAGATTTAATTAACTAGCGAACAAAACAAAGTTAGGACACAAATTTGGAAAACAGAACATCTTGTGGAAAATAATAATATTTTGGTGATGTTAAATGCAGAAGCGCAGGCAAATTTCTTTTTTCTTTTTTTTTTTTTGAAAAACTTTAAGTACAAGTTTTCATTACACAAATATGGGTGATTAAGAGTAGACAGATGGGTACAATGGCAATTATATCCATTCAAAATCAAAGTCTATGTATGTGAAACTCTTTGTGTGTGTGTGTGTATATATATATACATATACAGTGTGTGTGTGTGTGTGTGTGTGTGTGTATACAGAGCTGTGAAAAAAAGATAAAGGTAAATTGTTGCTATGTAATACAGTTATATTACAGAATGGTTTAAAGATGGAACTTTTGTTTTGTTGACTTTGTTTTCTGTTGCTTAAAAATGTTTTCTGTTGCTTAAAAATGGCTAAGAAAAATATTTTAAAAATGTATTTGTTACTACTTTTTAGAATTTATTCAGTATATTTGGCTGTTAAGAAATTGGAAAGAAAGCATAAAAATCATGATTGATGCACCCCTATTTCCAAATGCAATTGTTTAACTGTGTTAAAATGTTACCTGTGTCCAGATGAAAGGTCTTCAAGCTCAAATGTTAGTGGAGGATCTTTAGACCTGTCGCTCCTCATGGACACACAGCTGGGTCCGGGTGAGTCTGATCTCTCTGCATGAATATGTCTGCACAGCAACATGAATATTCTCTCAATAAACTCAATAAAGTTTTATAGTCTTATGTATATAAACTAGAATAATACAACTAGAAATTCCAAAATACTTAAGATATTTTACTTTTAAACTGTAAGATGATTAAGCAATACTTTAAACTCTAATGCTGCCTAATAGCATACTCTGACCAGATATGATGGAATAATTTGTGTCAATTAATATGTAGATCATTGCTTGACTTTTACAGTAGACCTTTCAAGACACAATTTTAATGTTCCAGCCATATTTTTCCCAGACTGAGATTGCATCTGAACTAAGAAGAGCTATTCCTTATGTACAAGAGAGGGATATTTGATTTACATGATCAATACACATGACTTTTCATGAGAACTCAAGTGACTGCTGTTGAGCTTTTTTTTAGAAGTGCTTTAAATGAGCACAGAACATCTAAATGCAGTGACTTAAATGTGAGGAGCCTTTACCTGTGTGCAGTTAAGGGGTCTCCCTCTTCTAATGTCAGTGGGGGATCCATAGATCTGTCACTTCTCATTGACACACCACTGAATACTGGAGAGTCAGATCTCTTTACCTGAATTTGACTTTACAAAAACAGTTGATTAGTTAGTCACTCTTCCTGTAACATGTTCATGTGAGGTCATTTTCACGAGAGAGAGAGAGAGAGAGAGAGAGAGAGAGAGAGAGAGAGATGTAAATGTAAACCAAAATAATTTGATATTACATTACTAAAAAACAACATGTTCCAACTGGAGACAAAGCAGTTTATTGGAAAATAAACAGTATGCAAAAATGAAAAATCAGGATTTACTTTAATGGACATTCAGCATTGGGCTGTGTTAGTGTGAAGTAGGGCACATTTCCGAATTGTGGACCTCACTAAAATTTTGATCCTAGTTATGGCTTTATTGTCACATTACAGACTGGCAATTCCCCTCCTCAACTGCAGAGGTCTCTATCACCCCAGCACTAACCAATTTTCTCTAAACTGTTTGCAATCTCTCATTTACAATCCTTGTCTGTATATGGACTTTGTGAAGTCTTGCCAGTGTTTTTTTCCTGTGAATTCAGAACAGTTTATTTATATTTGTTTTTTCTGTTTAACCCTGGCTTGTTATTATTATTTATTTTTTTCTGTATTCTGAGTTTGAATTTTCCCTTGTGTTTTTTGGGCTATTTCCTGGTAGATCAGCTTATTCTGTTTGTGGTGACTCATCTATAGACACAAATAGAGAATAGGAAGAGTGAAAGTGTGCCCGAGTTCCAATATGTTTTCCGTTCTTGCTGGCAGTGTATAAGATTTAATTAACTAGCGAACAAAACAAAGTTAGGACACAAATTTGGAAAACAGAACATCTTGTGGAAAATAATAATATTTTGGTGATGTTAAATGCAGAAGCGCAGGCAAATTTCTTTTTTTTGAAAAACTTTAAGTACAAGTTTTCATTACACAAATATGGGTGATTAAGAGTAGACAGATGGGTACAATGGCAATTATATCCATTCAAAATCAAAGTCTATGTATGTGAAACTCTTTGTGTGTGTGTGTATATATATATACATATACAGTGTGTGTGTGTGTGTGTGTGTGTGTGTGTATACAGAGCTGTGAAAAAAAGATAAAGGTAAATTGTTGCTATGTAATACAGTTATATTACAGAATGGTTTAAAGATGGAACTTTTGTTTTGTTGACTTTGTTTTCTGTTGCTTAAAAATGTTTTCTGTTGCTTAAAAATGGCTAAGAAAAATATTTTAAAAATGTATTTGTTACTACTTTTTAGAATTAATTTATTCAGTATATTTGGCTGTTAAGAAATTGGAAAGAAAGCATAAAAATCATGATTGATGCACCCCTATTTCCAAATGCAATTGTTTAACTGTGTTAAAATGTTACCTGTGTCCAGATGAAAGGTCTTCAAGCTCAAATGTTAGTGGAGGATCTTTAGACCTGTTGCTCCTCATGGACACACAGCTGGGTCCGGGTGAGTCTGATCTCTCTGCATGAATATGTCTGCACAGCAACATGAATATTCTCTCAATAAACTCAATAAAGTTTTATAGTCTTATTTATATAAACTAGAATAATACAACTAGAAATTCCAAAATACTTAAGATATTTTACTTTTAAACTGTAAGACGATTAAGCAATACTTTAAACTCTAATGCTGCCTAATAGCGTACTCTGACCAGATATGATGGAATAATTTGTGTCAATTAATATGTAGATCATTGCTTGACTTTTACAGTAGACCTTTCAAGACACAATTTTAATGTTCCAGCCATATTTTTCCCAGACTGAGATTGCATCTGAACTAAGAAGAGCTATTCCTTATGTACAAGAGAGGGATATTTGATTTACATGATCAATACACATGACTTTTCATGAGAACTCAAGTGACTGCTGTTGAGCTTTTTTTTAGAAGTGCTTTAAATGAGCACAGAACATCTAAATGCAGTGACTTAAATGTGAGGAGCCTTTACCTGTGTGCAGTTAAGGGGTCTCCCTCTTCTAATGTCAGTGGGGGATCCATAGATCTGTCACTTCTCACTGACACACCACTGAATACTGGAGAGTCAGATCTCTTTACCTGAATTTGACTTTACAAAAACAGTTGATTAGTTAATCACTCTTCCTGTAACATGTTAATTTGAGGTCATTTTCACAAGAGAGAGATGTAAATGTAAACCAAAATAAATTGATATTACATTACAAAAAAATGTAATTGATTAAATTACCTAGTCTAACTGGACACAAAGCAGTTTACGGGAAAATAAACAGGTAGCATAAATTAAAAATCAGCATTTGCTTTAGTGGACATTCAGCATTGGGCTGTGTTAGTGTGAAGTAGGGCACATTTCCGAATTGTGGACCTCACTAAAATTTTGATCCTAGTTATGGCTTTATTGTCACATTACAGACTGGCAATTCCCCTCCTCAACTGCAGAGGTCTCTATCACCCCAGCACTAACCAATTTTCTCTAAACTGTTTGCAATCTCTCATTTACAATCCTTGTCTGTATATGGACTTTGTGAAGTCTTGCCAATGTTTTTCCTGGGAATTCAGAACAGTTTATTTATATATTTTTTTTTTCTGTTTTTTAACCTTTTTTTAACAACAATGCATAGGGTGGCTGAGTTCCAACGTTTTCTGTTCTTGCTGGCAAGATTTTAATTAACTAGCCTAAGAAGAGCCAATAAAACATAATGTTAGGCCACAAGTTGGAAAATGGAACATCTAGTGGAAAAGAAGAATATTTCAGTGATGTTAAATGCAGTTTCAAGTGCATGCAATTTTTTTTTTTTTTTGAACAAGTAAGAACTTTTTTCACTTCATCATTGAGGTTGATTAAGAGTAGACAGATGGGTAAAGATGGCAATCATATACATTCAAAATCAAAGTTTATGTATGTGAAACACTGTGTGTGTGTGTTTATATACATACACAGTTTGTGTGTGTGTGTGTGTGTGTGTGTGTGTGTGTGCGTGCATGCATGTGTGTATGTACAGTACTGTGAAAAGTTATTTGCCCCTTCCCAATTTTTTCCATTTTTGCATATTTGTCACTCTTGAATGTTTCACATCATCACTACTTTGTCTAATATTCAAAGATAACCCAAGTAAAAACAAAATGCTGGACACATTCTGGACACGAGGTAGGTTGTGGAATAAGGTGCAGACATATTTAACATGCTGTGATCTGTGAGTTACGCAGTCAGATAACATACATATACACAGCAGTTACTGAGGTAGTAAAACAGTGTAAACACAGTATTAGCAGCAATGTTCCAGATAGTGCAAGTCGAGCATCAAAAGAAGTGTGTGTGTGTGTGTGTGTGAGTGTGTAGGGGGGTTGTTTAGTTCAGTCCTGAGTTTAAAAACCTGGTTGCTTGAGTAACAATGCTGGTGGCTTTGCGGATGCAGCGTGTGGTGTAGATGTCCATGATGGAGGGGAGAGAGAGAGACCCCGATGATCTTCTCAGCTGTCCTCACTATACGCTGTAGGGTCTTGCGGTCGGAGGCGGTGCAATTCCCAAACCAGACGAAGATTCAGCTGCTCAGGATGCTCTCTACAGTCCCCCTGTAGAACATGGTGAGGATGGGAGGGCGGAGATGAGCTTTCTTCAGTCTCCGCAGGAAGAAGAGGCGCTGCTGGGCTCTCTTGGCTATGGAGTTGGTGTTAAGGGACCAGGTGAGGTTCTCTGTGATGTGGACACCGAGGAACTTGGTGCTCCGAATGATTTCCACAGCAGAGCCAGTGATGTTAAGTGAGGGGTGGTCACCTCGCACTCTTCGGAAGTCAACAACCATCTCCTTAGTTTTGTCTACATTCAGAGACAGGTTGTTGGTTCCACACCAGTCTGTTAGCCACTGCACCTCCACTCTGTATGCTGACTCATCATTCTTGCTGATCAGACCCACCACAGTCGTGTCATTAGCAAACTTGATGATATGATTTGAGCTGTACTTTGCTGTACAGTCATGAGTCAGCAGAGTAAACAGCAGTAGACTGAGCACACAGACCTGAGGGGCACCGGTGCTCACTATGGTGGTGCTGGAAATATTATTACCTATCCTGACTAACTGTGGTCTCTCAGTCAGGAAATCCAGGACCCAGTTACAGTGGGAGGTGTTCAGGCCCAGCAGGCTCAGTTTTCCAATCAGCTGCAGAGGGATGATGGTGTTGAATGCTGAGCTGAAGTTTATGAACAGCATTCTGACATAGGTGTCTTTATTGTCCAGGTGGGTGAGAGCCAGGTGGAGTGTGGGGGAGATGGCATCATCTGTTGAGCGGATGGGGTGATATGCAAATTGCAGTGGGTCCAGTGAAGGAGGAAGCTGGTCTTTAATGTGCCTCATGACAAGCCTCTCGAAGCACTTCATGATGATGGGAGTGAGTGCGACGGGACAGTAGTCATTGAGGCAGGACACTGGAGACTTCTTTGGCACAGGGATGATGATGGTGGACTTTGGAATGACTGCAGTGCTCAGAGAAAAGTTGAATATGTCCGTGAGAACATCAGCCAGCTGTTTGGCGCATTCTCTGAGCACTCTGCCCGGTATGCTGTCGGATCCTGGTGCTTTTCATGGGTTGACTCTATGTAGAGTTCTCTGCACATCAGCTGTGGACAGACACAGTACCTGTTCACTTGGAGGACGTGAGGTTTTCCTTGCCATTGTGCCATTCTGTGCTTCAAACCGAGCATAGAAGTTATTTAGCGCATCTGGAAGGGAGGCATCACTGTCGCAAGCAGGTGGAGGTGACTTGTAGTTGGCAATGGCCTGGATGCTCCACCACATGCATCGTGTGTCAGCAGTGTTTCGAAAGTGATTGTGGATTTTCTTTGAGTAGGCATGCTTAGCCTCTTTGATGGCCCGGGAAAGCTTGGCTCTTGCTATCCTGAGGCTTGCTTTGTCCCTTGTCACGGGTTCTCAGCAGCATGTGCACCTCTGCAGTCATCCATGGTTTCTGGTTGGGGTGAGTTGTGACAAGTTTGGAGACAGTATCATCATCAATGCACTTGCTGATGTAGCCAGTCACTGATTCTGTATACTCCTCCAGGTTGATGGAGTCACCGGAGGTTGCTGCTTCTCTGAACATCTCCCAGTCAGTGTGTTCAAAACAGTCCTGAAGAGCAGAGATAGCGGCCAGGTTCTCACTTACTTCTGGTCTGGTTTGGCATGTCTGATAAGTGGTCTGTATGTTGGAATGAGCATCACAGAGATGTGGTCTGAGTAGCTGTAGTGGCGGCGGGGCTCAGCCCTGAACACGCCGGGGATGTTTGTGTAAACAAAATCCAGCACATTAGCACCCCAGGTTGCAAAATCCACATACTGGTGAAATTTGGGGAGTACTGACTTCAGATTGGCATGGTTGAAATCTCCAGCAACAATAAACAGTCCATAGTTGTAGGACTTTGCTCAGAATTCATGCATTCAACTCATCCAATGATTTAGCTAGTGGATTACTGGCTTTGGAGCTCAAAACACTTTGTGAACTGGCGATTCCACATTGGCAAAACTCAGAGGCCTGCACACCAGCGGTCTCGCCTACCATCACCAACCACCACAGGAAGCGTAAGCAGGGCAAGAGATCACACAAACGCAGCACTAGAGTGGGTATTAGCACTAGGCTAAAAGCTAACCCCCCCAGACCTGCACTTCCATCTATTCTGCTATCTAATGTCCGCTCGCTATCTGAAATTGGATTTAACCACCCGATGCAAGGTGAGAGACTGTTGTGCCCTTAACTTTACCAAGACATGGCTTAATTCCAACATTGCCGATAGCGGCATTAGTGTGTATGGGCTAACAACATTCCGTGTGGACAGGAGCCATGCTCTCAGTGGCAAATCTTGGGGAGGGGGTGTTTGTATTTATATCCACAACAACTGGTGCAATAACGCTAAAATGCCTCAAGCCACTGTTCAGGAGATACAGGAGTTGCTGACACTAAAATGTCGACCATTCTATTTGCCAGAGAAATTCCCAGCCATTAGCATCACAGCTATTTACATTCCTTCCAGTGTTAACACAAATGATGCACTATCCACACTGTACCAGTCTGTCAGCATGATGCAAAATGCCACCCACTCCCACCTTCGAACCATCTCTCTGTTATGCTAATTCCAGCATACAGGCCACTGCTAACCAGAAGCAAGCCATCTGTGAAGCAGATAAGGACCTGGCCAGAGGGAGCAGTTTCAGCACTTTGGGACTGTTTTGAATGTCCTGGCTGGAATGTGTGCAGAGAGGCTGCCACTGTCAACCTAGAATGCTGAATTTGTGACGGGATTCATATCCAAGTGTGTGGAAGATGTGGCCATCAAGAATATCACCACACATGCCTACCAGAAACTCTGGCTCACCAGAGCGATACATGAACTTCTGAGAGCATATAATGCTGCCTTCAACTCTGGGAACAAAGATGCTCTTAGATCTGCTAGAGCCAACTTGAACCGGAACGTGAGAGCAGCAAAGCCTGCTTGTGGTCAGAAAATCAAGAGTCACTTCACAGACTCAAAAGATTTCAGGTGCTTGTTGTAAGGCATCCAGTCACAGACTACAGGTCCCCTCCACCACCCTCCGTTGACAACACCGGCTTCAACACACCCAACACCTACTTCAGCTTGTTTGAGGAAAACAACATTACCAAAGTGATGAAAGCCCCTTGCCGTCTGGGTGTGGGTAATGAAAATGAACCCAGTAGTCAGCTGATTTGGTTAATAGGTTGAATTATTATCTAAGGTGGCAATTACTTTTTCAGATAGGGCCAAATGGGGCTTGTAGCATGCTTGGCTGTTTTTAATTCATAAACTGATCAGAACTTTGTGAGCAAAGTGAAATCTACATCTGCAGGCGGCAGGATGTTTAGAAGAACCAACAGCTAAATTTATGACTGAGTGCTAAAAACACGTCTCTCAACCCCCATTGGCTCTCCCCCTTTTGGCAACCTGGAGCAGATGTGTGCCACCCTTTTTAAACATCCTGAAGAGACCTTTGGACATCACGGGAGTAAATTTTGGATAACAATAAATTGTGAACTTTTGAATATTCCTTTCCTTCTCCCTCACACACATACATCTCACCTTCCTCCACAAAGAGAGACATCTAGACTGAAACAAAGGCCAAGGTGGCACCACCAATCAACCCTGGTTGAGGGACTGTTGAGACCTCACAAATCTCTGAGCAGACCCCCAGTGTGGCCAGATACCTTTAAGTGCGTTCCTTCAGTCTCGTAAATCTTGGGCCTGTGCAGAGACTAGGCTCCTAAAGGCCCAGCTTCAAGAGCCCTGCTTTCTGGCAAATTACTCACAATATGATCTTTTATTATGTACCAATTGACACAAGCCACCTGGAAGCCTGCCACGCCTCTCTGATCCAGCCAGATGTGGCGCCCTTGAGTTTCACTTCTTCTTCGGCTTCGCCTTTGAGTGACCAGTGGACTATTCTTCAGCCCACGCAAGCAGGCGGCTTCTCATCCTCAGCGTGGCACGCGCCTCACCTCTGCTCTGTCTGAGGCACCCAGGTCATAGACTCACTCACACTGCTTTTTTGCTTTGGGAAATTAGGTGCTTTAGAGGCTTTCTCCCCACTACAGGCTAAACAGCTTTTTCCTTCAATAAGTAAAATCATCATTTAAAAACAGCATTTTGTGTTTACTTGGGTTATCTTTGTCTAATATTAAAAGTAGTCTGATGATCTGAAACAAGTGTGATAAATATGCAAAAACAAAAGAAATTGGGAAAGGGGCAAACACTTTTTTCACAGCACTGTACATGAAGATATAGGTTACAGTCTTATTTATATAATCAGCAACTAGAAATTCTGAAATACTTACTTCAGATATTTTACTTCTAAACTGTAAGACAATTAAGCAATACTTTAAACTCTAATGCTGCCTAATAGAGTACTCTGGCCAGATTAATTTGTGTCAATTAATATGTAGATCATTGCTTGACTTTTAAAGTAGATCTTTCAAGACACAATTTTAATGTTCCAGCCAATTTTTTTTTCTCAGATTGCCTCTTAACCATAAAGAGCTATTCCTCTCTCATTAAAATACCTCTCTCATTAAAGTACTTTAAATGAGCACAGAAAATCTAAATGCAGTGGCAAAAATGTGAGGAGCCTTTACCTGGGGGCAGTTAAGGAGTCTCCCTCTTCTAATGTCAGTGGGGGATCCATAGATCTGTCACTTCTCATTGACACACCACTGAATACTGGAGAGTCAGATCTCTTTACCTGAATTTGACTTTACAAAAACAGATGTTCAGTCAGTCACTCTTTCTGTAAATGCAAATTACATTACAGAATTAAAAATTAAATCTAACTGGAGACAAAGCAGTTTATGCGAAAATAAACAATACGCATAAATTAAAAATCAGCATTTACTTTAGTGGACATTCAGCATTTCACTGTGTTAGTGTGAAGTGCGGCACATTTCCGAAGTGTGGACCTCACTAAAATTTTGATCCAGTTTATGGCTCCGTTGTCACATTTCAGACTGATGGTTCCCCTCCTCAACTGCATAGGTCTCTATCACCCCAGCACTAACCAATCTCTCATTTAGAATCCTTGTCTGTATATAGACTTTGTGAAGTCTTGCCAATATTTTTTCCTGTCAGTTCAGAACAGTTTATTTATATTTGTTTTTTTTCTGTTTAACCCTGGCTTGATTTTTTTTTTTTTGTATTGTGAATTTGAATTTTCCCTTGTGTTTTTGATTCAATTTTCATGGTTTCACAGAGTTGGCATGTTTTGAATGCACTCACTGGAATGTGTTCAGAGAGGCCGCCACTGTCAAGTGAGTCTGTGATGGGATTCATATCCAAGTGCTGCAAAAGCTCTAACAAAATTTAAACTTCAGTATTGGTGTGATTAATTGTAGATGGATGGGTAAACATCATATATATATAATCAAAATCAAACCTACAACACAAACTGTGCAAAAGGTCAAGGGGTCTGAATAATTTCTGAATGCACTCTATTTTCAGACACTGGTTGAATGATTGTTTCTTTTAAATGAATTGTAAATGTAAACTCCAATGTCAGATTTTGGTGCAGAGTTCAACTCCATAAAAGAGTGAAGCTGAAGTCCATTCTTATTATCACTTTTTATACATTTGCAGCCTGGCAACTTTGTAGACCTGACATGATGACGTTGAAAACTATGAACATCCCAGAACATATGTCTGAAGCTCCATAGTCGAGAGTCATGAAGATTATTTAGAAAACATTACTAAATCATTATTGATGCTATTTCCAAATGTAATGGCTTGGGTTTGTTAAACTGTTACCTGTGTCCAGATGAGTGGTCCTCATGTTTGAATGTTAGTGGAGGATCCTTTGACCTGTGGCTCCTCATGGACACGCAGCTGGGTCCTGGTGAGTCTGATCTCTCTGCATGAAATTGTCTGCACAGCAATATAGATATTCTCCCAATAATGTTAAACAGTTTTACATTCTTATTAATAGAAACTGTGACAAGAAATTCTTAAGTATTTTTAAATGTTTTACAGCAAGACAGTAAAACAATTCTTTAAATACCAATGCTCCCTAACAGAGTACTCTGGCCAGATATGATGTAATACTTTGTCCTTGTTTGAGAACAATTCTTTTTCTTTTACAATAGTCCTCTCAAGACACAAGTTTAATATGTACGAGATTTTTTTCTCCAAATATGTTAAAAATACAATGAATTGTCTTGGTGAGTGCACACATTTATGACATACAACACACTGAACAGCCTCGACGAGCACAAAAACTATTAACAAATATTTCTCTAAGGGACAAATAAAATAAAAAATACCAACACAAAATGAAGAATAATAAATAGCCAATGTGAAAGGAGCTAAATAGATGTGTGAATATCTATACATATGCAAATCCTATTATTATTAAAATTACAGAATTATTTAAACATGTGTTTGTTAGGTTCAGTTTAAAGTTAAATTGCAAGGTGTCCACTGTGGTTAGGAGCTCTGGGAAGAAAGCTGTTAGATGTCAGGTCGTGCTGGATTTGATGGCCCTGAATTCTCTACTAGAAAGGGTTGATTGGAAGAGGTAACATCCAGGATGAGAGGGGTCGTCAGTTATTTGGCTGGCGTGCTTAATGGCCCTGCTGTTGTAGATGTCCTGAAGCATTGACAGACTACATCCGATGATCCTCTTCACTGTCCTCATTATATGCTACATTTTGGCTTGTTCTTGTGAGGTGGAGGAACCAAACCAGAGGGTTATGGATGATGCGAGGATGAACTTGATGATCGCTGTGAGGCAGGATTGAATATCTTCAGCTGTATCAGGAAGAACATTCTCTGCTGTGCTGTCTTGACTACGTAGACTGTGTTCCTCTTCCACTGCCCAGGAATTTTGACTCCACATGGGAAAATACAAGTGGTTGCTGCTGCACCAGGAGACCAGCTGCTTGACTTCCTTTCTGTATGCAGACTTGTCACCGTTGGCGTCAGTGTCAACTACAAATTTCAGGATCTTCACTGCTGGTTCCTTAGAGACACACTCATTGGTGTAGAGCATACAATCTGTTGGGTAAGATTTGGCCTCTTTGTAAAGAATTCTGTCCCCAGTCCTGAATGCTGCTTCGTTTTCCCTCTGAAGCTGTCTACATTCAGTTGAAATCCTCGGTTTATTGTTGCTGTATTTCACTCATGCTGAAACTGATGTATGTTGTCATAAAGTCCATGTATTAGTCTACTCTGTCTGTTGATTCTTCAAAAACAGTATAATTTGTGGATTCAGAGCCCTGCAGCTTTTCACTGAAATGTATCCATTGGTCCACCTCTTCATTGTTGTGATGACAGGCTTGTTGGTTTTAAGTTTGTATGTTGGGATGAGGTGAACGAGATTGTGATTGGAATTCCTGAGAGCCACGCATGATGGTGCGATGATCATCCCTTCTCTTGTGGCACAAATGACATGCTGTCTGTATTCAGGCATTTCCTTTGTTAGACTGGCACTGTTAAAGTCTCCCAAAATTATGAGATGTGTCCAGATTCTTTCTTTCTACTTTCATTTTCTGATCGACCAGCAGATTCTGCACATCTCTTGTGCACACCTCCGGCGGAATGCAGTCACTGACCAAAAAGATAGAAGAAAACTTTTTTTGAGAGTAGAATGGTTTGCAGTTGATGAAAAGTAACTCTAGATGAGAAGTGCATGATCTTCACAGTACTGTGACATCTTTACACCAGCGTTCATTGACATAAAAGCAGATTCCACATCTTCTAGTTTTACCAGTGGGCTCTGCGCCTCTGTTGACTCTGTGCAGCTGGAAGTTGGGTAAGTGCAGGGCACTGTCTGAGGTCAGCTCAGAAAGACAGGTCTCTGTTCTGTTGTGTAGAGATTGCAGATTTGAGAGGAATATAGATGGTAAAGGGGTAAGAAATACACACTGTCTCAGCTGTATGAGCAAACCCACACATGAGCCTCTCTGCCTCCTCCTCACCAGGTTGAGCAAAGTCAGCACACCCATTGTGAAGATTTCCAAGAACTCTTAAGGTTTTTAAATAAACTTCATAATAATTTCAGGTGAAACATTGTTATTGAAGGTCAGTAACTGTTCTCTGCTCCGACTGAGTTTGATGTACAATAGACGACATTAATAAACAATAACAAAATAAACACAAAACATAGGAGACACACACTGAGGCAGCCATCTGCAGCATCATCTTAGATCTTCTTTTAAAAGTGCTTTGACAAAACACAGCAAATCTATATGCAGTGGTTTAAATGTGAGGAGCCTTTACCTGTGTGAAGATGAGGGGTGTTCTTCTCCTGGTGGGGGATCCATAGATCTGTCACTTCTCATTGACACAAAACTGGATACTGGAGAGTCAGATCTCTTTACCTGGATTTGACTTTGCAAAAACAGATAAAACTAACCACTTAGAAAAGCAGAAAGTGCCGATTACATTCACAAAAAATATCTGATGAATAAGAAATAATAAAAAAATATTTTGTGGAATATTTATCTAGATGTTTCAGTAACACTCTTTTCTTATCTGGAGTTAATGGATAAGATTATGAACTTAAGAACAGTTGCTCTGTAATAGCTTCTGTAATAACTATAACCATCTGTTTGTCCACAGCAGCAATGACAGTTTTGTGTGTATTGTTTATCAATGCCCTGATGATTAACAATAGTTTTTGTAATGCAATCACAAAGATTAATGAAACTGCAGATAATGCACAGATTAAACAGACTGTGCATATAAGTTGAGTTTAGGTCAAAGTTTTACTAACACTTTGAGTGGTTCTCTGTAGATGATTTATAAACTCTTCACAGGGTGAAATAGCAGCATCTGAAGCATTTGAATATACTGAGGTAAATATCTTGAAGATGTTGATACATTACTTGCATTAATTGGATATATTGTTGATGTTACATGAAGTAGATAATATATTTCTTTCATTAAGCAAAACTAACCCTACCTAACCTCAACCCAAAACCTAATTCTAACCCTCGTCTGGCCCTAATCCTGACCCTAACCTTAACCAAAACCTAATCCAGTTAAGCTCCATTTACAGAATGGTGTCAGCAGTGTGTCTATAACAGCTTGTTGAGGATGTTGAGATGTATTTAACCTGTTAATTTGTTATTAAACTTTCTTGTAAATGATGAGATCATAAAACACTGAGTAGTGATGGATCCAGCAGGTTGATGAGGCGGAGGAGGTTTCATAACAAAACAATACAAAAAAAAGAACACCATGTGTGCTTTGTCCACATTGGATCCAAACTAACAAGTGTGTTAATGAGTCTGTAAAGCATGACTCGTTTCCTCATACATGGGTTTCCCAGAACTAAACGAACAGCTTCTAATGCATGAATATTTAATAAGTTGTTGTCACAAACCAGTGGTTTAGTTCAGCATTACTATACTCTTTTGAGAGATGAACAATTATAGCAATAGTGTGTGCATTTATGGGCAGAGCTGGACAGAACTGTTTAAAAAAGTAGTGACGGCTGAATACTAATACATGGTATTAGTACAATTGATTGATGATATATTCAAAATACATTTATATTTAGAGTACATATTGAAAAGGCATATGGGGGAAACATTCTGTTGTAACTTTAATATACGTATTTCGTGAAAAATGTGCTTATTGTGGCACCTATATAGACACACAGGCCTATTATTGAATACCAAGGTTTAAATATATTGGTAACTCTCATTCCATGGTGGTTGAGACATGTCGGTTCTCAAAAGTTCAAGAATATATGATCATAATAAGCCAAACAATGACTTTCAAAAATGTTCCTTTTTTGACAGTATTTATCAAATAAATTAACTAAATATAATTTTAACAATACATACATTGTCAAATAACTTACTGTCCTACTTTTGCTAAACTAATTTGCTAATCAAAATAAATTAATAAATGTTTTCTATTAAAAATCTCCACATCCTTGTAACAAAATCTTGTCAATTTGACTGTAACATGGGTATCTATGTGATTTGCTGATATGTATGTAACATCATGCTACAACACACATACACACAGTCCAGGACAACACAGATTGTGAACAATCCACTACTGAAGAGATGGCTCAGTTCCATCATTCTTCAAAAGAGCTTAGCAATGTTGAAGTGATAACATTGATTTATCAGTCTACTTATTTATAAGCAGGAACTTTGATCTTTGCACAGGTTATTTAAGAACAAAACTTTAATTGTATTAAAACTAATACTCTACAAAATTGTTTTTCAGAAATTTGCACCACAGCAAGAACAGTCAAAACGTCAGATCTACTTAAAAAATTACTTCATGTGGTAACAAGCAATTAAACTAGTTTTATTGAACTTAAAATACTACATTAATTTAAAGAATTGTTCATTCAAAGTATATATTTAGGTTGAATAAAACTAGTTAATTTACTTGTTACCACATGAAGTATTTTAATTTAAGTAGATCTGAAAAGCCACTTTTTACAGTATACCTCTGCGCTGGATGTCACAGTAACCCCCCTTCACTGTTCTGATCACCACACTCTTCACACTCTTCCACTCTTCCTCCCTGCTACTCCTGTCCATACCACCCCTTAATGCTCTTTTACTAAACGCAAACTGCACTCCATTCTTCCTCATCTCTCCCTTCTAATGTCCTGACTACCCTTCCCCATCCTGACTTTTCTTCTCTCTCACTGGACACAGCTACAGATATTTTCCTTTCTTCACTCTCATCTGCAATTAATTTTCTGTGTCCTCTCTCCTCCAGGTCAGTAAGACCCTCCCCACCTGCCCCCCTGGCTGACAGGTGTCCTGCGAAGCAACCGGCAAGAGCTAAGCAAGGCTGAGAGAAGGTGGAGGAAATCCCAGCTTGACTCGGATCTTCGCTCCTACCAAGCTCTCCTTTCTAAGTTCTCACTTGAAGTTACTGCTGCAAAGTCATCTTTCTACAGATGGAAACTGGACGCATCAGCCTCTGATCCACACAAGCTCTTTAGCATTTTTTCCTCCCCCTCCACCCTCGTCTCTCACCCCTGAGGATTTTGTCACCTTCTTTGAGGAGAAGGTTGATAGAATCCACCAGTCTTTTCCCTCTGTCTCCTGGCAGCTAGATCAGTCAAACTGTCATCTTTTATGATTCTTCTTGACCTGTCTGCAGCTTTTGACACAGTCAACCACACGATCCTTCTGGCTGTCCTCCCAACCTTGAAATTACTGGCTCTGTGTAGATGTGGTTTAAGTCCTATCTGGAAGGGCACTCTTATCAGGTGACATGGAGAGGGTCCACATCCTGTCCATGCAGGCTCTCCACTAGTGTCCCACAAGGCTTGGTGCCGGGTCCTCTTCTTTTTTCACTTTCACTTTACATTCATTCTCTTGGTGATATAATATCCTCTAATGGCTTCTCTTACCACTGCTATGCTGATGACACTGAACTAATGCTTTCCTTCCCACCTTCTGATACCCAGGTTTCCAGTCGCACCTCAGCACGTCTGACTGACATCTCTTCATGGATGGCAGCTCACCACCTGAAGCTCAATCCTAGCAAGACTGAGCTGCTATTCGTCTCTGTAATTACAGGTCTTCATCATGATCTTGCCATCTCATTCAAGAACTCTCTGATTGTTCAGTCTGAAGATGCAAGAAGTCTTTGTAAGGGTTGGCTCCAGGGCTAGGCCACCACCGGCCACCAGGGGGAGTCAACGACCCAAATGAGCCACACCTGCTCAGGGGGCTTTATAAGGGCTGGGAAGAAGACACACTTTGCTGAGTCTTTGTTTCAGAGTTCTGGCAAACAGACTGGCCGGTAATCTCGGGTAGAAGCTCTAGAGAATTTCTCTCAAGCTTCTTTCTCTCTGTCACTTCTCAAGCCTATCCCCCTTTCTCGAGTTGTGTCTTTCTTCCTTTAAAAAAAAAACAAAAACGTAAAGCTAGAGAAGGGACAAGTTTGCGCCTTTCTCCTTTTCGTTCTCCTTCATGCATTCTTTTCTGTTGGGAAAGTGGTTTTTCAGTTATCATTTCCTCATTCATTTTCCCCATCATTTGAGAGAGCCAGTCTTTCCCCTGGCGTCCTTTGTTCTGTTCCCGCCTAAGCCTTAGTAGGTGGGCTTTCATACGACCTTTTGTTTTCCACCTGTTTTTGGCGTTCCCTTTTAAGGTGAACCCTTCCTGCACCACGTGACACGGCCTCTATAGTGCAGTGATAGAGCGCCGGTTTGTTAACGCATTTATTCGAGCCCCAGCATCCGCAGTTTAATATATTATTTTAATAATACCTTCCAATCACACAGAAGCTTAGCGTTTGGGTCCTGCCTTCCAAAACCCTGTGGTGGCTCACCCGGTTGGCCTCTGAAATACCACCCAGATGGCCTTGGTTCTAATCCCACCGCTGGCAAGCTGCCACATTACAGTCTTGGTGTGATTCTGGATGGCCAGCTATCATTTTCAGCTCATATTGCGACCCTGATTCAGACATGCAGGTTTCTCCTGTACAACATCCGTAAGATTCGACCATTTCTCACTCAACAGGCCACAAAGTTGCTAGTCTCTTGTAATCTCAAGGCTTGACTACTGCAACTAGCTCTTGGGTGGTCTTCATATACAGACCATCAGGCCCCTGCAACTCATACAGAATGCAGCAGCATGGCTTGTCTTCAATTTCACTCGTCAGTCCACTGCTGCGATCCCTTCAATGGTTTCCTGTAGCTGCACACATCAGATTTAAAACCCTGATGCTTGCCTACAAAGCCAAAAACGGACCAACGTCTCCCTAATGGCAATGATTAAAACTTCAAGACATGTGGAAGACAAGCATCAAGACTTTTCTCTGTCCTGGCACCCAGGTGGTGGAACGAACTACCACTGGCTGTCCAAACAGCAGACTCTCTCGTGGTCTTCAAAAGCAGACGCATCTCTTTTTACAGCACTTAAGTGAGCACTAAGTTAAGTATTTCATGTAATGTGTTGTACTGCACCTTTTGAAACATATTGCGCTATGTTTAATTCAATTTCTTTTTCTCTAGGTATCAACATGGGCTTTTGTTTCTAGCAGTATCTGAGCTCAGGACTAGCTTTCTCTCCAACCTATTTGTAACTAGCAAAGATACTTTCTTTGAGTAGACAACAAAAGCACTTTTTGTAAGTTGCTCTGGATAAGAACGTCTGCTAAATGCTGTAAATGTAAAAGTAAAGGCAGAATGATACTGTACATATAACTATTCCAGTGGACTGGCATGTATTATTTGTTGTCAGTTGTGTTGAAGAAACACCAGAGTGTAAGTAGCGTATCTGCTGAGATAATGATTTCTGTCTGTATCGACTGAACTGATACACTTATTAGGTAATATCATCTGTTCCTCAAGCACTCAGGTTTTTAAATTCACAAGGACTGAACTACCCCCACACACATACTCCACACACACACACACACACACACACACCTATTTTGATGCACTACTTGCACTATCTGGAACGTTGCTGCTAACACTGTGTTTACACTGTTTTACTACCTCAGTAACTGCTGTGTTTATGCATGTTATCTGACTGTGTAAACTCACAGATCACAGCATGTTAAATATCTCTGCACCTTATTCCACTACCTCATGCTCAGAAATGAGTGCTGTGTCGGCGCTGCACTGTCCTGTCTGTTTACTGTGTCTAATGTCTGTTTAATTTATCGTATTTATTGTATTGTTTCTAGCTTAATTTTTTGTTTGCACACTATGTCTGCACGTTCGCACTTTGTACTCTTTTGTTCCATGTTGCACCATGTGCCTGAAGGAACGTTATTTCACTCCACTGTGTACTTGTACATAGATGGAATGACAATAAAAGCCTCTTGACTTGACTTGACATTTCAGTAAACGGGCACTGAAGTTTCAAAATCATATGGTGATAGATTTTTTTTTTTGTGAGAAATTATTCTGTGCTTTGCTGTCACAGTGATGTATCTGTGAAGGGCTGTTACCTGCGTTCAGATGAAGAATTTCCATCTTTGAATTCTAATGGATGATTCATAGACTCATCACTCTTCATGGAGACACAGCTGAGCCCTGGAGAGACTGATCTCTTTGTCTGGATTAGACTTTACAAGAAGAAGACATGACAACTAATTAATATCCAGTATTTACTTTTTTATGAACATACCCAGGAACATGAGAGCATAAGTATAAAATAGCCAGGTGAGTTAGTCATTATGGCACCAAATGCTAATGACATAATGAAAAAGATTACATAACTCGTGTAATTTTGCCCTCTTGAATCACAAAACCATTCTCCAGAGTTTACCTTTAGAAATGTCCATATCTGAAATTGATATTTGGACCCATACCTGATTCCACACGTTTACTGACTGCAGCGGCATTTTATCATGGCCGCTACAGGAGTCTAGTGCTTGTTAAGTAGGTATGGAGTCTGTTTTGCACTGGCAAAAACTTTTTACATTTAGCTGTACAGTTGCTCACCCCTAGAAACAAACTGTCTAATTTAATGCTTAAACTTAAAAGCTTCTCAGCTGCATCAGGTACATCTGTAAAAAAAAACCTTGGTGTCACGATTGATCCTGATCTGTCCTTCAATGCAAATATAACCAATATTTACTTGAATCTCTTTCCTCCATCTTCGCAATATTGCCAAATGAAGAAATGCACTGTCTTTTCTGTATCCTTTAAAGATAATTCACACCTTTTTACTTCAAGGCTGGATTACTGTAATGCCCTGCTGTCTGAATGTTCCAGCAAAGACCTTAACAACTTCAGTTAGTCCAGAATGCTGCAGACAGAGTCCTTACAAGAACTAGAAAGCTTGACCATATCAGTCCAGTTTTATTGAACCTACACTGGTTGCCAGTTAAATTCCACATTGAGTACAAAATTCTTTTACTAATAAACAAAGCTCTAAATGGCCTCGCCCCCTCAGTACCTGAGCAAAGATTACGAGGTGCTGGCTTAGTATTAGTACCTAGAATTAATAAAGTTACATCAGGGGGGTAAAGCCTTTTCATACAAAGCCCCCCAGCTTTGGAATAATCTTCCAGTCAGTGTTCGGGACTCAGACTCAGACTCAGCCTAAGTCTTTAAGTCTAGGCTAAAAGGCTTGTTTAGTCAAGCTTTGGTAATTAGTTTTTCCCTGTTAAATAAAAGGTGCAGATCTGGGGGTTCACGGACATAGTGTATTATGGTAAACTGGGAGTGTTGGTGCTGTCATCCCGCTGCTCTCACATGTTCACTCAAGTTTGCTGACAGTGGAGCAGAGGGGTGCTGATTTCTCAGGGAGCCCTCATGGCCTTTACTTTCTGGCTCTCCCTTTAAGTTATAGATAGACCTGCATCTGTGTGTTTTCTTTGCCAAGTCGAATAGCTGTCCATCTTGTACGATCTGATGCTGTTGCTTCATCTGTCTTGATCAGATGCCCACTGCTTGTCACTTTCTGGACCAGTTTGACCACCATAATGCTTCCTGCTGTACAATGCTGTGCAAACCTTATCTGCATGAACTGACCCTCATGATGATACTGCTGCATGAACAGACTTGAACTAGACATTGCTTCACCTGCTTTTCCCTTTTCTGTTTTTTAATATTTTATACTAAGGATAAAACCTTATTCTCTGCTCATATTACTCTTTTGTTATTGTTTGCTATCCGGTATTGACCAGAGGAGGATGGGTTCTTCTTTTGAGGCTTGATTCCTCTCAAGGTTTTTTCCTCTCGCTCTTAGGGAGTTTTTCTTTGCCACTGTCACCATTGGCGACGCTCATGGGGGTTTGGACCCAGATTTTTCTGTAAGCTGCTCTGTGACAGTGCCCGTTGTAAAAAGGACTATATAAATAAACTTTGACATGACATACACAGGGCCCTGTTGTTGTGATTATAGCACAAAAATAAGCCATAAGAGCACAGCACAGGTGTGTGGTGGTGTAAGATACAATTTTGGTATTATTGGTGCAGAGGCAAACCTAGGCCTGTCCAAAGGGTCCACCAAGTCCTGCAGTACTTTTGTTTCTTTTTTATTTTTTGAGCTAATTTGCTTGTCCTCAGTAACTCCGTTTAGATTACAAACAAATTAAAGTTTATTTGACTCATTAAATTAATAATAAAATTAAGTTTAACCCACATCTGAATATCTTCTTATCTGTTGTATGAGACAGAAGTTTAAAAAAAGCATGTTTACTACCTTTTTGACAGAAAAAGATGGTGTCTAAGCCTATAATTTGAATGATGCATAAATGTTTAGCCATGAATTTGCAAATTTCTCATATGCTCACTTTTTTCCTGCCATAATATAATGGATTAAGTAAATAAACAACACATCATGCAATCTGTCCATGCCCCAAAAAAAAATGTAATATTACATTTTGTTACACATCTTTAACTTGCTGGATGCAAGCCCTTAATTTTCCTGCAGATTAGTGTATTGGTCATTAGCCTATAATTTGTGTTAACCAACATCATCTCCAAACAAGGGGAGTCTTAATAATATAGCATAGCATGATTGCCTATATGGGGAACTAAATACATATTAGAGTATTTTACCACAAATGTGACTTATCCCATCAGATTTTACTTTAGTTTGATATTCCAAATGTGTCAATTATTATATATGTTCTGTGTGCAATGATTCATCAGCTGTCTGATTCCCTAATAGCATTATTCAGTGTAATTACAATACAGAATAATAATTGTTTATATATATATATATATATATATATATATACATACATACATACATACATACATGTTTGTATCTTGGAGCAAGATGGCAATGTCTCAGATGTCTTCCTACCTATTGTGTGTATCTTTTTATTGTTCGTGTTACTGTTTTGTCAAGTACATACAGCTGTTACTTAAGATCAGGAAACTTCGATTCATATTAGAGCTTCTGGTTCAACGCATGGGATTAAATCCCAAAAAGCCTTTTTCCTGCCATTACTGAAGCTTATGGTCGCCACGGATACCTTCAGCAGTTCTCTTCACTGCTGTGGGCAACAGTGTATGTGGGAGAAGAGGAATTTCTTTGATCCAGCTGAAGCAGCTGTTTAATCGACAGTCAGGCCGATTCGCTCTCTCTGCTGGCATGTTAATTTCCATGTAGATGATGCCACTAACAGATTTACCTCAGAATTTCAAACACTGTTAAATCCTTCAATTTTGTGCAAGATGTGTCCAGCCCAACTCATAGGATTTGGTCTTTGCTCTGGGGCTTAGCCTTAGTTCTGTTTGTTTGGAAGATGTGTGTTTCTGATCATAAAGTCAATGTTTTTGAGTGTTTTTTAATCTAAAGCTGTAAACCCTAAAAACATTAAACATTCGTTTTTTTAATGAAGAGACAGCTGCTAAATTTAAAATATTTTTAATGGTTCGTCTGCACAGTTGTCGCAATTTGCAGATGTTACTGATTTTGCTAGCTGTTTTTAATCATTTCTGCATGCTTATTCTAGATTCTAGATATTCTAGATGATGTGGCTCTATTCAAGTTTAGATCAAAACCATTAACTAATCCATATCCTTGGTTAAATGGTGATGTACATTTGAAAATAGAGCACAGACAGGCAGAGCGTGAATGGAAGCGTTCTCAGCTTCAGGTTCATTATCTGCATATAAAAGATTTGTTAGTTTTGTACAATAAGGTCATACTAAGCTGCATATGTTTAACGATTTAAAGCTATAGGATAAGCCACCAACCAGATGCAGAGACAGACTCAAGTGCAGAGCAGTAGAGACTTGAGAATGGAGGTTGCACTGAGCGAGACTCAAATTCTACCACGGCAACGCTGAGGAGAGCCTCGCAGAAGGTTGATAAACATAAAGGAGAAGGCCAAGGCCTGACAGAGCAGTATCTTCAAACAAAAGTTTCTGAAAACTAAGGAGAAAAGCAGTCAACAGAAAGGACACTCAAAGTTTTAAGTAGAGTGTGCACAGCTGCACCTGATCAGCCTCTATCAGCTCATCCTAGTTCTCTGATTCCTCCTAGTGGTTGGAGGTGGCCTAGAAGGAGGCCAAGACATTACAATTATAGCTAATAAGCATGATCCAAGATTTTTCTTCTCTATTATTGATTCTCTCATCAGTGATGTTAAGTTGAACCCTCATATTTCTGACATTGGGTGTGAACAGTTTTAAAGTTTTTAAGGATACGAATATTGATATTAGAGCTTATACTCCATCTCATTCTACATGCATGAAGATTCTTCCTGCTAGCTCTAATACTGATGTTTTGAATCAGTTTACTTCAATCTCTTTGGATGTGTTAATATACACTGTGCAGCACTTGCAACCCTCCTCTAGTCCTTATGATGTTCTTTTTCCCAGTTTTCTTAAAGCCTGTTAGCCCTCATTTGCAAGCAATTGTAAATCCTTCTCTTACCTCAGGGTGTGTACCTGATTGTTTTGAAGTGGCAAGTGTGCAGCCTTAAGACACTCTTAAGAAAGTGGGCTGTGACCCTAATGGCTGTTCCAGCCTTAGATCCATCTCTAAATGTTTAAACTTTATCACAAAATTTTGGAAAAATTGGTTTTCAACTTTTGCATGCACTGGAGGCAAAGAGCATTTTTAAAATTTCAATCTGGATTTCGCCAAAAGCACAGCACAGAAACAGTACTTGTGAGAATTTTAAATGATAGTTTAACACATTTGGGCTCTGGGGAATTATCTTCTTTGGTGCTGCTTGTTCTTAACACAGCCTTTGATATAGTGGATCATGATATCTTAATAAACAGGCTTAGTAAATAGGTTGGCTTATCAGGGACTGTGCTAGTCCCTGTCTATTGGCAATATGATGTCTTCTGTGGCTGATCTTATATGTGGGGTACCCCAAGGTTCCATTGTTGGCCCTATTTTATTTTCTCTTCACATGCTCCCTCTTGGAGTATTAATCAGATGTTTTAATATCTCTTTCTATTTTTATGCAGATGATACGCAGTTGTATCTCTCCGTTAATCAGAATGAGCATCCAATCTAATTAAGTGCATTGACGCTATTAAGGACAGGATGAACTGTAACTATAGCAATGCTTTATATACTTGTCTCAGTCAAGGAGCTTTGGCCAGACCTCACTTGACCCAAAATGCAGCTGTTCGGCTCTTAACAAAACCTGGACATAAGGAGCACATCAGCCTAGTGCTAGCCTCCCTTAACTGGCTCTGAGTAAAATTCAGAATTGATTTTAAAATACTGGTTCTTAATTATAGAGCTCTACATGGTGAAGTGTCTGAACATATTTGTTGTTAGTTCCCCATACAAGTACCAGGTCGCTGAGATCCTCTAATAAAGGGCATCTTCTTGTCCCTGGAACTAAACGGAAGTGAAGGGCAGATGGTGCATTTGCTGTGTGTGTTCCTAAATTGTGGAAGTCTTAACCTCAATATCAGAATCTCCACATCATCTTTTAAGAAGCACCTAAAGATTCATTTTTATTCTCTAGCTTTTTTGAGCAGTGATAATAGATAATGTGCTTAACTGTGTGTGTGTGCGTGTGTGCGTGTGTGTGTGTGTGTGAGTGTGTGTGTGTGTGTGTGTGTGTGTGTGTGTGTGTGTTTAATTTCTTTTTTCAATTTTATTGTAAAGCACTTTGTATTTATGTCTTAAAGTCCTCTATAAATAAAGGTTTACTTAATAATAACTGAGTTATTTTTTTGGGTTATAATTTTAATTATTCAGTCAGTTGTATTTAGTTAATAATATGGTTAGGTTGCCTGTTTATAGTGAAGTGGTTGAAATAAAAGGTGCACGTCCCCAGAATCATGCTGTGAGAAACTGGCCACAGTTTTGTGTCTGCACCTGTTTTGGATGAAAATGGATTTGAAAATCCCACTGCACAGGGATTTTGAATGTCCCCGTGTTGCGCCACTCTACCCATGTTGGTGCATACGGATTTATTTCTGACTGCTAAAAAAAGTCAAAGTTTATTTACGTAGCACTTTTTACAGCAGGTGTTGTCACAAATCCAACAGAAAAATAAGTCCAAGCCCCCATGTGCAAGGAAGAACTCACTAAGAGCAAGATGAAGAAACTTTGAGAGGAACCAAGACTCAAAAGAGGAATCCATTCTCCTCTGGTCAACACTGGATAGCAAACAGTGACAATAACAAACTTGGTGCAAAAGGGAAAGGATGCATCTGCACCAAACAAATGAACAATACACTAGCATCATACCACTGAAATGTGCTTTGCACCCACATGAAAACAGAGCCTCTAACTCTTACCAGGAGTGTTTCATGTTTATGTGAAGGCCTTCGTCACATTCCTCAGAGTGACTCATCCTGCTGATCTGGTACAGCAAGATCTGTTACACATAGTATATCAACACACCTCTGTACACAAATCTCTTAAAAATGAAAAATGTTCATACAAATGTCAATCAATCGGATAGTACACGTGAATTGTACAAAACACAGTAAAGGAATATGTGTTTGACTTTTATTCTTATGCAATAAAGAAACCTGAAGCTCTCAGCAATGACCGATAGGCTGAAAAAATGTATAAAAATGGGTTCCTTTAAGATAACACGAGCAACAAGTCAATGCAGATATTGTGGATTCCTTTTTTGATGTTTAACAAACTGAAAGAACTATTGTAGGTATTTGTGATGGAAAAATGATAAAGTAGATTGGATTAATTTAAGAACATTAGTGTAGCTTCAGAAACAGATGCTTTACTGAAATCTGTTTCCTGCTTTGGCATGTTGTAAAGGTTCCTTAAATTCTAACATAAAGCCTTTACTTCTATTAACATGAGTACAGGAAAAAACTCACCTTTTTCTCTTTTCTGTGTCGCAGAAATCCTACTTTGTCCTCATGGTGACCAAAATAATGATCTTGTGTCTGTATCACCATTAGAATCGTGTGAAAGGAACACTTTCAGTTTTATCTCTGTAGAAAACCAGTTCAGCAACCTCCTGCTGCTGCTGACATATCGTTTAATTCACCTTCACAGTTTCAGTCATTTGATGATTCATTTTTACATTACATGCAAACACAAATGTTCCTCCACTGTACTGCATAACACTAGTTTAAGTGATATCAGTCTAATATCAGAAAACAATCAGTGCTTTCTCTGCATTTTCAATAACCTTCTGTAACCTTCTGTCTGCACACAGGCCATGTCGGAACACACTTAGAGAGAAGTGTGGGTAACCAGCTTTGCTCTTTCTAAAGGTATATTTTTACTTTAGAACAAACAAAAATTTTTATTTTTTTTTCCTAAAGGAAAAAAAAATCAAGAGAAAGTAGATTCTTGAGATTTATAATCTTAGAATATCCTCAAAATTATCTTAGACTGAAGGAGTTGACAAGGTCTGTGGTGGTCAGTCCTGACAACACCAGCAGTTTCTTTGTTTGACAAGAACCTGCTAAGCCTACATTTGATGCACATTTAATTAAAGTTGGAGGCACTAGAGTTTGGAATTGAATATGGTGATAATTTCATTACATTCTAGGGAGTCAATATGTTCTTATTCCCAAAAAAAATGTGGGCAGTTTTCTCAACAAGAGTGGGGTACTTCTTTTGTTCCACTGCTATTGTCCAGCAGACATTCTGGAGAATTTTGCATTCTTATTGCAATGGGTAGTTCAGTTCAGTAATCTGTCCATCCACAACATCATTTCACATTAGCCTGAGATCTGTTTTGTATTCAATACTTGATGTATTCCCCAATGTGCAAGTAGAGATATCATGCTTAGTCATTAACTCTTCGGTTAATTTGTTTACCTTGTAGGAAGTGTAAGAAACACACTTTTAGACCTCTTGAATCCAGCCTTAAACCCTGGAAATTTCTCCTAAATTGCAAGAGAATCCCAGGCCATAAAAGAAGGCCTGTCTTATCTCCAGCTGAGGACCAACCTATGGCCAGCCATAAGACAATATCCACTTAACAGGACTCATTCCCACAAGCATGTGACCTCTTGTGATCTGCTATACAATGCAAAGACACATTTGATTAAAACATAAACATCATAATTTCACAAAAAAAGAGAATGTTCAATTAACAACATCAAAATGAAAATTTCACAGGACATGCATAACATCCTGTGATGTCATTTGGTAATTATATAATGTTGTGTGGATATGTAATTCACTCTTTTTCATGAATTGTACATGAAAAATACAAAATATTTTGTCTCAAATCAAAATCAGCTAAAATCATACTTGAAAGACTGGGATGATTTTCAAAGTTGTGTGACACACCAGTAGCATAGTCTGGACCTGATATGAACCATATGAACCAGCCTGGAAGGGGTGAAATTGGAATATTACCTTGAACACCTCCTATACAGAAGCAGAACCAATCAGCATTAATCTGACAGCGACCTGGACACTCCCAAACCCTATTAATCACGCCACCTCCTTTTTCTTTTGTTGTGAATTGATGGTCTACAGATTTCCATCACCAACTCCTGAGTTGGCTCTTAGGCTCTAATGTTTTGGCTGAACCAATTTTGACTTTCTTACTTTTCAGAAGACAAGACAGCACATGCAAACTTCTGGTTTTTAAAGGTGCACTGGGTCTTCTCTCACATTTCCTGGGGAAAACAGACCACATACTGTCACTGTAGGTCATTCAATGCAATTTTGAACTTAACTATAAATCTTTTCTCTGCTTTCCTTTAGTGTTGGCATGATGGTATTTCTCAAGATGCTATAACATTCTAGAACCCCCTGTGGTGTAAACTCTGGTGAAATAAGTTTAATGTTGTTCTTTGCACACATCTTCCATGATGTGTTAACTACTCCTACTTCTGTTTTTTATTCAGGCAATTTAATAGTACTGCCTGATTTGATTTTACCTATATAGATACATACATATATCTTAAAATACCTTCAGACAGAATCAGAAATCTATTTTTACTTTATTTGACAATTAAACGTTAAAGAGAGTTCTGTGATGATCTGACAAAATAAAAAGGGTCTGATGATGTAGTATTTTTTGTGAGCCTGATGACTAAATGTATCTAAATCTAAACTGATGACTAAATGTAAATAGTTACTCTTTGCTACGTGATTTTGTCTATTGTCTAAAGTGGCAAACAAAGAGAAAATTATTTTCTTCATTTATGTGTTTCGTGTCTTGTATTTTTTACTAGCGCTACATCAGCCAATATCTAGCAAGGTTAATGATTTTATTTTATATGCATTTGTAGTGTATAAGCGGTTACTTAAGAAAAAAATCAAGTCATTCTAGACCACATAATAATCTTTAGAATGTATTTTATACCCTATTTTGGAAGGGAAAAGAAGTAAACACAACCTCTGCAGCAAACATTAAAAAAAAAAAACTTTTTTTCTACAAAAGTTAATGCACAGTTACTTTATATTTGAGTGACCTGAAAAATATAAGAAATAAAATAATAATTGTGGGATTGTAATGGTGGCAGGCAGAACCAGACGCTTGCAGCAGAGGCTTGGATTAAAATCTTTAATAACAAGGGAGTCCAAAATCACAGTCGTATATCCAAAGCAGAAAGTTGAAAATTAGATAACAGAAACAGAACAAAAGGGAACAGACAAAATGACAGTAGTAAACAGAAAACAGGTCATACACGGGAAAGCAATCAGATACACAGCGATTACACTAAATGATGATGTGATGTGGAAAAGGTGTGAGTACAAATCAGAAGTCTGGGGAAGAGGAGTGCTGATAGGTGGATCGGTAAGGGTCTGTAGCCAGGTAAGAGTTTGTCATGTGAGAGTCCTTGGTCATGTGATGCAGCAAGGAGTTCTGGGAATTGGAGTCCTGGGTGGCCCTGTTAGCAGAAGTAACGACTAGACTGTAGGGAGGCGTGACAGGCATGTGCAAAAATTTGAATGCCCTACTAAGTCAGTACTTAGTGTCACCCCCTTTGGCACAGATTTCAGGCACAAAAGATTATTGTAATCAGCTAGAAGTCTTACTATTCTTGTTTGAGATTTCCAGATTTCAGATTTCCTAACAGCACACTCCTAGTCCTGCAATATTCTTGTTCCACTGTTAGGGAACACGTCATGAATCTGACGAAGACTTTTTCTTACGACCTTTCTCAAGAACACATTTAAGAAAAACATAGGCAGATATTGGTGAATGAGAATTTGAAAATTAACAAATGTTTACAAATGACAGTTCATGTAGTTACCAATGCATGTATTCATATTTACAAATATGTTAACGAATCATTTGCTCATCAGAATTTGAAAATGAACAAATGACTAGTTAATGAGACTTTGAATATGAGCCAGTATTTACTTTAAAACTATCTGTTAAATGTTGTAAATGTTTATCAGTCAGTGACAAGCATTTAACACATATTTACAGGTTGTCAGTGAATTCAAACTAGGCCAAGAATGAAATTAAACAATGACTTATAATTGCAAAACGGGAAGAAATTTGCTAACCAATTACAAATAAAAAATGAAGCCATTTGCTCAACAATTACAAACAAAAAGAAAGTTTCTCGATGAAAGTAAGAATTCCATTTACATTCTTTCAGTGAATTCATGTATTTTTCTCTCCATTGCACTGTTAAACTGCAAAGTTGTGTCAGTTACTTGTACTTCTTGGAAATGTCATGAAATAGTCTTCCTAGTGCTCCATTTTTGTGTTTTTAGCTAGCCATTCATTCCACTCAATTACATTAAGGTGGTCTTCCAGTAAACCCTCGGTTCTGTTTCCCTTCAACCTCCACACATTTTTCTTATATGTGCGCCATGCTCTCTATATGCTGAGTGTGAGGGGTCTACATAGCAGACACTGTGGTTTACAGTAAACTGACTGTAACTAATTATGAAGACTTTCAACTTTATTTCAGGCACAACAAAAAAGTCTATAACTGATGCATATATAGCTTAAACATATTTAACATTTTTTTAGAGTTATGCATGTTTATTAATATTTTGTAATTATATATAAACTAATTATGAACAGTTTCAACTTATATTATCCACTGAAAAACGCTTAGAACTAAAATATCTTTTATTGATTTATATAATTATATGTTACCTCAATATTTAGCCATAATATAGACTTGCTGTCTCTTAGTAGACACATCTGCCTTGCTGGAACACACTGTAGGTGAACAGGAGCACAGAGCTGCTCTTGATTGGATATCTTTGGGTGTTGGAGCCCTCTCAGCCTAGCGGTGACACTGAGTATGTAGAACCACAGCAACACTGTTCTGAGACAGCACACTGCTGTACACAAGCTGCCTATCATAAACATTTGTACATTTTCAAATTCTTAAGAACTAATGATTTGTTCACATTTGAAAGTATAAATGCACACATTGGCAACTACATGAACTGGTATTTATAAAGTTTTGCTAATTTTCAAAGTCTCATGAATTAATGAGTTGTTAACACACTCATAAATATGAATGCACACATTGGCAACATGAACTGCCATTGATAAACATTTGCTCATTTTCAAAGTCTCATTAACTAGTCATTTGTTCATTTTTAAATTCTGATGAACAAATGATTTGTTCATTTGTATATATGAATACATGCACTGGTAACTGCATGAACTGTTATTTGTAAACATTTGTTAATTTTCAAATTCTCATGAACTAATTATTTGTTCACAGCTATTAATCATTAGTTAATGGTATGTTAATGAAACATATTATAAAGTGTTACCCAGTATCCTTTATTCAGATAATTTAAAAGAACAGTGAATATTTGCAGTACTATTTAAATGAAAACCCTCCTTTTGCTTGTAGCTTTACGGAACAATGTTTTGCACACTATATGTCCAAAAGTATTCAGACACCCCTTCAAATTTGCAAATTCAGCTACTATAAGGCATGCGCACAAAATTGCCATGTCATTTTCTTCCACCTTGCTGTGGGGCAGGCGCTTGCACTTTTAAG